CTCTATGTCAAACACAAACATGTATGCAGGTGTTGCGTGAGAGCTTGTGCATGTTGTGGTGTGTGTGCATGTTGGGGAGTGTGTGTGTGTGTGTATGTGTGTGTGGAGGGGGGGGGGGGGGGGGTTAGGAGTGCCTGCACAGGCTTCTAGAGCCGTTTCTGCTGTGACCTGCTGCCCAGGGCAAACACAGTAAAACCTTGAGCAAACACACACACCTAAGACTCCTATACTCCTTCACTACAGCAGGAGGAAACAGAGGAGCACTTCTCACTCAGTCCCACTAATCACTCCAGAGGAAGAACTGCTCAAAGAAAAGGAGGGGGGAGAAAAGGGCGATGAAAGGGACGGAGGGAGAAGAAGTGAGATGGAGGACTGTGTGAGAGGGGAATGGCATTGCGGGGAGCAGGTACAGACTACCAAGAGTGCTATTGTGGTCTTTCCACAGCACACAATACCAGCACTAAGCTCACAGGAAGACCTCAAGAAGACCTGGGGTGAAAGGTGAAGAGGAAGTCTAGTCTGGTGTGAGTGTGTGCTGGTGGGCGCATGTGTCTGTGTACAGACGCCGTGCATAAAAAAGAACTCCTCCGCCTGCCTGTCTTCCCACAGCCTTCCTGCCTGCCTGTCTTCCCGCCTGCCTGTCTTCCCGCCTGCCTGTCTTCCCTCAATCCTTCCTGCCTGCCTGTCTTCCCTCACGCCTTCTTGCCTGCCTGCCTGTCTTCCTGCCTGCCAGCCTTCCTGTCTGCCTGTCTTCCTGCCTGCCTGTCTTCCTGCCTGCCTGTCTTCCCCCACGCCTTCCTGCCTGCCTGTCTTCCTGCCTGCCTGTCTTCCCTGAAGCCTTCCTGCCTGCCTGTCTTCCTGCCTGTCTTCCTGCCTGCCTGTCTTTCCTCAAGCCTTCCTGCCTGCCTGCCTGCCTTCCCATCTGCCTTCCTGCCTGCCTGTCTTGCCGTCTTCCTGCCTGCCTGTCTTCCCACCTGCCTTCCTGTCTTGCCGTCTTCCTGCCTGCATGTCTTCCCACCAGCCTTCCTGCCTGCCCGTCTTGCCGTCTTCCCGTCTGCCTGTCTTCCTGCCTGCCTGTCTTGCCGTCTTCCTGTCTTCCAGCCTGCCTGTCTGTCTTCCAGCCTGCCTGTCTGTCTTGCCGTCTTCCCGTCTGCCTGTCTTCCTGCCTGCCTGTCTTCCTGCCTGCCTGTCTTCCTGCCTGCATGTCTGCCTTCCCGCCTGCCTGTCTTCCCGCCTGCCTATCTGCCTGTGTGTGTGAGTACTGTTATACACGCGCCCTCCATCAATGAGAGAGATATATAGATAGAGAGAGAGAGCGCTAAAGTTTCCCTTCCATCCATTAACTACCAGACTCCTGGGGCGGAGTCCTGACCTGGCCTAATACCTCTATGAGGGGCCGTCATCACGCCTCCTCAGAAGAAGAGAAGAGGAGCGTGTAACAACAGATCGGAGGGGATTTCAAGAGCCACCGTGTTCAGTTTTACACACACACACACGCACACAGCCTGGATAAACTGGTGGAATCTCCTGTTGAGTCTTGCAGGGGAGGGTAAAACAGCACACAGGTGTGGGAGAGAGGAGAGGCTTACGTCGGAGGTTAACCTAATTCCCCCCAGAAAAAAATAAAAATTAAATTAAATTAATTTTAAAAAATAACTACGTGTCCACTCCAACAATGAGAATGGTAAAAGACTGGAAAAATATTATTACAGACATTAACGTAACCAAACAAACATTGTAGATTAGAAATGATAGGAATTGAAGGTAAATGTACGACTGGTGATAAATGTAATGGGGAATTGATAGACTAACAATCAAACACAAACAAGTTATGAAACAATGAATGTGCACAAATTGGCTGGAGAGCGCGCATTCTGGAGAGAGAAGTGCATTGTGCAGCCACACTCCCCTCCTTCTTGGACTGTGCCATCCCCACGGTCACTGCAATGGATTAGTCTCGGCCTCCGCAATGGATTAGTTCACTGAGATGGGCGCGAATAAGACCGGTGTCTCGTGTGCCATAAAAATAAATAAATAAATATATGCTACGGCTCGACAAAAAAAAAATCTTGGTCGACCAACAGCCTATTAACCAAACAATCGACCAGTCGACTAACTGGGGTCAGCCATAAACCTAATGTAGCCATGTTCTTAAAAGCGCTTCGCAAACTGCAAAGGTTGGAGCGCAGAAGCATTGAAAAGTTCAAATGAGCATGAATTGAAGTGCAAAGCCTGAAGCTTTTTTTTAATCAACACCTCTACTCTCCTCTGCTGGAAAACAATGGTTTGTGTTAGCACAAACATGCTTCTATACCCATAATGTAAAACTACTCTGTATTCAGCCTCGACTTCTGAGCCCCACTCTCTGGTTCCTCTGAGTGCCAAGGGGGTATTGCAAGAGGACAAGCCCCGGCAGGGCTACTCTCTGAGGGGTGTCTGGCTTGCCGGTGCCTTCCCCTTCCTCTCTTGAAGTGTGTAGCACCTGTAGCCATGCGCAGAGCAAATGTAGTGTGTAACCACCGTGTTCTGAACATCGCGTTTCAAGCCCAACCATGCTCCCACCGAGTTCCCAGTCCCACCACGCTCCCACCGAGTTCCCAGTCCCACCACGCTCCCACCAAGTTCCCAGTCCCACCACGCTCCCACTGAGTTCCCAGTCCCACCACGCACCCACCGAGTTCCCAGTCCCACCACGCTCCCACCGAGTTTCCAGTCCCACCACGCTCCCACCGAGTTCCCAGTCCCACCACGCTCCTATCGTGTTCCCAAGCCACACCACACTCCCATCGTGTTCCCAAGCTCCAACACGCTCCCATCGTGTTGCCAGCCCCACTACGCTCCAATCGTGCTCCCATCGTGTTCCCAGCCCTACCACACTCCCATCGTGTTCCCAGCCCTCTACGCTCCCATCGTGTTCCCAGCCCCACCACGCTCCCATCGTGTTCCCAGCCCCACCACGCTCCCATCGTGTTCCCAGCCCCACCACGCTCCCATCGTGTTCCCAGCCCCACCACGCTCCCATCGTGTTCCCAGCCCCACCACACTCCCATCGTGTTCCCAAGCTCCAACATGCTCCCATCGTGTTGCCAGCCCCACTACGCTCCAATCGTGCTCCCATCGTGTTCCCAGCCCTACCACACTCCCATCGTGTTCCCAGCCCTCTACGCTCCCATCGTGTTCCCAGCCCCACCACGCTCCCATCGTGTTCCCAGCCCCACCACGCTCAAATCGTGTTCCCAGCCCCACCACGCTCCCATCGTGTTCCCAGCCCCACCACGCTCCCATCGTGTTCCCAGCCCCACCACGTTCCCAGCCCCACTACGCTCCCATCGTGTTCCCAGCCCCACTACGCTCCCATCGTGTTCCCAGCCCCACTACGCTCCCTCATCCCACATCAAACACTCTGGGAAGGAGGATGTCTGTGTCCCAAATGGCACCTTATTCCCTATGTAGTGCACTACCTTTGACTAGAGCCCTATGGTTCCTGGTCAAAAGTAGTACACTATATAGGGAATAGGGTGCCATTTGGGACACCATCGATATTTGGCAATTCCGTGCCACCTCGGAACGTGGGATGGCTCAGGGCTGCAAAGCCGGGCAGGTCTAGGAGTTCCTCTGCCAAGAAGCGGAGGATGAGGAGAGGAGTCTTTTCATTTTAATATCCCTCTCTCTTTCCCCTATGGTGTTGTGGTGAGAGAATATGACCCTATAGAGGCCTTTTCACACTGCATTGTTCTTAGCCCCAGGCTAGCTTATCCTGTGTCCACACAAGCATGTGTTAACCCTGGGCTAAGCTTTAGCCTTGTATTCCAAAGCCCTGGGCTAACGGACAAACACACATGCGACCAACATTCTATCTCTGCCACGCGACCAATGTTATAAAGCAATAAGACATTTATCAACACATTATTTCCTCTTGCTTCTAGCCTAGCATTTGATTTCCAACAGTGATGGTTTGTATAAACCTTGCCTGTCGGACCTCGGAATCTCCCTTAAAGTCTCCCTTAGCCCTCAGGAGGAAGTTAAGTCCGCCCCTGTTAAACTCAAGCTGACATGTATGCATGTGCACATGCGTGTGTTTGTGAGCGAGAGAGAGTGTGAGAGTATGTGTGTGTCGACTTTGACGGCGAGGTGGCATACAGTCAAAGAGAGGAGTGTATGTTTAAGGCATACCAGTCTACCTAGCTGGCACACAGATAGGAGTCAGACATATTAGCTCTTTTACAACACAACATCAATAGCTGCAGGTGGAAGGCTTCATCAATGCTGACACCTTCACCAAACTTAGGGGGAAATAACAATAATCTAGTGTGTGTGTGTGTGTGTGTGTGTGTGTGTGTGTAGGGTTCAAATTGGCCTAAACATTGACTTGTGACTTATAAGGGTGCCCTGATTCATTTTGAGAGATCCCAGCACCCTTATTTTTCAAACTGTGTGTGTGTGTGTGTGTGTCTGAAACCGAGGCAACAAGGCTCTGGCAGGCTGGCAGCAGGACTCTGGTGCTGCTCCACTAAGGCACACTTAAAAGGAAAATACCACTCAAAAACTATCTTTTGGTATTTCTTTCATTACTCCACCGTTGATACAGTTCCAAAATGTTTTGCATGTCAGCAGTGAAGTTGTCAAGATATTGGACTTTGAAGAAGCAATGTGTCACCTGCCACATCATCACGTGCTAATTGAGGTGGCAGCACTAATAATGTGCTTCCACTCTTATCGGAGTGTGAGAGGGCGGGTGTTGTGTGAGAGGGAAGGTGGTGTGTGAGAGGGCGGGTGGTGTGTGAGAGGGCGGGTGGTGTGTGATAGGGCGGGTGGTGTGTGAGAGCTAGTCTGGGCTTGTCGGCACTCCACTCGGCCGCTCCACAAATTGCTGTGTTTAATCAGTAGGGCTTCTTACCAGAGAGCATGGCTGGGAGGGTGGACATGACAGGTGGCGGGCAGCATACTGTTAGCTACTGCTGCCAGACACTCTCCCTCTCTATCAAGTAAAGTATCAAGCCTCATGGATAGAGAGACAGAGAGAGAGACAGAGAGAGAGACAGAGAGAGAGAGAGAGAGAGAGAGAGAGAGAGAGAGAGAGAGAACGTGTGTTTCTTGAAGCAGAGAATGTGTCTCTTTCCCAATGGAAGGCACACGCGTGTGGGAGGTGGGGTTATAGGCTACAGCTAAATAAGCCGTCCAGTGGTCAGCCAGTGTCCAAGAGGTCACGGCGTCCCAGCAGGAGGCCTTTTGCCTTCTGGTCGGCCGTCATTGGAAATAACTATTTGTTCTTAACTGACTTGCCTAGTTAAATAAATATAAATAAAAAGCAGACATCCCCTTCTGAGCAGCTGTCAATCTGAGCAGTAACAGAAACAGGAGAGAGAGATCCACTCAACCCTTTCCAATGAGTGATGACTTCACCTTTTCTTCATGGTAACCATGACTACATGGAACTCCATTCCACATCAAGTAACTCATGCAAGCAGTAAAATTAGATTTAAAAAACAGATGCAAAAACACCTTATGGAACAGCGGGGACTGTGAAGCAACACAAACATTGGCACAGACACATGCATACAAACGTACAATAAAATACGCACTATACACACACACGTGTATAGTGCGTATTTGTGTTGAAGATAGAGTAGAGGCCTGAGGGCACACACTTAGTATGTTGTGGAATCTGTTATGAATGTATTGTAATGTTTTAAACAATGTATAACTGCCTTAATTTTGCTGGACCCCCATGGGATCCATAACAAATACAAATAAATACAAATACAAATCACCACTGCCATCTAGTGGCATCAGGTATATTGCACTAACCACACACAACTTACAGTGCAGTCAAATCGGCTAAAAGAAAACTGACAGCCGACTCCATCAATTTCAAAACAACGTTTGTCTGCAGAAAAATCTCTGTTGTTCCTCATATTATCACTTTAATATAAGTGATCTATTATCACCATAATATAGGTAGTGATCTATTCACTATTATAAACTGGGCTGTTCGAGCCCTGAATGCTGATTGGCTGAAAGCTGTGGTATATCAGAACCACGGGTATGACAAAACATTTATTTGTACTGCTCTAATTACGTTGGTAACCAGTTTATAATAGCAATAAGGCACCTCAGGGGTTTGTGGTATATGGCCAATATACCACTTCTAAGGGCTGTATCCAGGCACTCCGTGTTGCGTCGTCCCAAAGAACAGCCCTAAGCCATGGTATATTGGCCATATACCACATCCCCTCGGGCATTATTGCTTAAGTAAGGCATAAGCAGGAGGGACCAGTACAAATGTGACTGTAACGTTACCATTCTGGTTAAACCCAAATGTGACTGTAACGTTACCATTCTGGTTAAACCCAAATGTGACTGTAACGTTACCATTCTGGTTAAACCCAAATGTGACTAACGTTACCATTCTGGTTAAACCCAAATATGACTAACGTTACCATTCTGGTTAAACCCAAATGTGACTGTAACGTTACCATTCTGGTTAAACCCAAATGTGACTGTAACGTTACCATTCTGGTTAAACCCAAATGTGACTGTAACGTTACCATTCTGGTTAAACCCAAATGTGACTGTAACGTTACCATTCTGGTTAAACCCAAATGTGACTGTAACGTTACCATTCTGGTTAAACCCAAATGTGACTGTAACGTTACCATTCTGGTTAAACCCAAATGTGACTGTAACGTTACCATTCTGGTTAAACCCAAATGTGACTGTAACGTTACCATTCTGGTTAAACCCAAATGTGACTGTAACGTTACCATTCTGGTTAAACCCAAATGTGACTGTAACGTTACCATTCTGGTTAAACCCAAATGTGACTGTAACGTTACCATTCTGGTTAAACCCAAATGTGACTGTAACGTTACCATTCTGGTTAAACCCAAATGTGACTGTAACGTTACCATTCTGGTTAAACCCAAATGTGACTGTAACGTTACCATTCTGGTTAAACCCAAATGTGACTGTAACGTTACCATTCTGGTTAAACCCAAATGTGACTGTAACGTTACCATTCTGGTTAAACCCAAATGTGACTGTAACGTTACCATTCTGGTTAAACCCAAATGTGACTGTAACGTTACCATTCTGGTTAAACCCAAATGTGACTGTAACGTTACCATTCTGGTTAAACCCAAATGTGACTTTACCATTCTTGTTAAACCCAAATGGGTGTAACGTAGTCTCTCTGTGTGTGTGTGTGTGTGTGTGTGTGTGTATAGCCAAGTGTGTGTGTGTGTGTGTAGCCAAGTGTGTGTGTGTGTGTGTGTGTGTGTGTGTGTGTATAGCCAAGTGTGTGTGTATATTTGTGTAGCCAGTGTGTGTGTTTAGGCAACTCACTAAGGTCTTCTGCCAGCTGTACTCTGCGTCCGGTGATAAGGTGGACCTTCCTCTCGTTGTCCTCGCCAAAGTCCTCCAGCACTTCCTTCACGTTCTTCTCCAGGCGCCGTACTGAGTGTGCAAACACAAAACACACAACCACACACAGGCACACACACACACAAAATGTCAGAAATCAAAGACAAAGGGAACACAGACCTCTAGACAGGCCCCCAGACAGGCCCCCAGACAGGCCCCCAGACAGGACCCCAGACAGGCCCCCAGACAGGCCCCCAGACAGGACCCCAGACAGGACCCCAGACAGGACCCCAGACAGGACCCCAGACAGGACCCCAGACAGGACCCCAGTGCTTCAGTGTGGCAGTATCAGAGCCCCAAATGGCACCCTATGGGCCCGGGCAAAAGTAGTGCACTACGTAGGAATAGGGTACATTTGGGACACAGGCAGTAATTATACTGTGTCTGCTAACTGCTCCCCAGGACACAGTAGCTCAGCTCACTCAGACAGGGTCAGACAGAGGGCAGACAGAGGGCAGACAGGGGCAGACAGGGGCAGACAGGGTCAGACAGAGGGCAGACAGAGGGCAGACAGGGGCAGACAGGGGCAGACAGAGGGCAGACAGAGGGCAGACAGAGGGCAGACAGGGTCAGACAGAGGGCAGACAGAGGGCAGACAGAGGGCAGACAGAGGGCAGACAGAGGGCAGACAGAGGGCAGACAGAGGGCAGACAGAGGGCAGACAGAGGGCAGACAGAGGGCAGACAGGGTCAGACAGAGGGCAGACAGAGGGCAGACGTTCTCCAATCAAACTATGACTCAGACTATTAACCTTTTCTCTCATTTGAACCAGTTAGGAGCTATAAAAAGGGCAGAGACGTTACCAGTATGGCGATACGCGTTAGTATCGTGGCCAGGAAACAAAAGCGGGTTAACTTCTTTAGGAAAACAGCCCTAATGTTGGAAACAAACATCATTATGTTCTCATCCATAGCCACATTTATTTATTTTCCAAGCTATAGCACACAATATTTTACAAGTTTCTAAAGGACCAAAGAGTTTGGTCTGCTTCGTGTTTTCATTTTTGCCATGGAAAAAATATCACGGTAGCTGCCTGCATGTATGCTCTGATGAGGGCTTGGCAGTTAGCAGACTAAGAGGGTGAATGCTACATGACAGTAATATTGACCATGGCTGGTTCATCCCAGCCAAGCCCAGATTCAGCCCAACTCAGTAGAACGACTCAGCCCACTCCAGCCTGGCCAAATACTCCTGCCCCATCCCTATATCCAACCCCTTTCCACAGTGCCGGAAATGCCACTTTCAGTCAAGGCTAGATGGGTAACAACTTCCGCCAACATGGCGGCGCATTTGTTTACAAGGTCGCTAACGTTACTTCGGCTTTCAAAGGTTGACCAAACTAATCTAATATCAAAAAGACAGTGGCCACTATGTCATTAATTTCAGGATTTTCTGATCAACAACAATCACATATTCTGAAGAGATTGCGCAAGTCAGATTGAGACACGCATACATCACTCCCTAGCTAGGTAGCTAGCCTGCAGTTATCGTCAGCCTAACAGTCTGCAGCTGTCGGAGCGTGTTGGCTGTGATTAGCAGCATCCTCTGGAGGGAAGTAGTATTTCTGTTGGTGTTGAAAGGGGCCTATACAGCCCTGTACCACAGCCCCAGATCTATACCACAGCCCCAGCCTACCCTCTGTGTTGATGAGCTGCTGTCGGAGCGTGTTGGCTGTGATGAGCAGCATCCTCTGAATCCTCCAGAACAGGACTACATCATTGCACTCCAGCTGTGGTGAGAGAGAAACATGATAGTCATGCACTGAGACGGGGTAGACGTTGGCATATATTATGTTATTAAGTTACATGCAACAGTCAGAGATAACAGGGGGTAGTGTAGATGGACAACTTACTACAGTCCATATAGGGTTACAAAATTCCAGTATCTTTCCCAAAATTCCAAGATATTTCAGAAATCTTCCAGAGAACGTTGGGAAAGTTACCGGAATTCTGCAACCCTACGTCCATAACTTCCCTCTGAAATCAGCTAACTCTGGCAGCTTACCACAGAGCCTAGGTCCCTTACCTCCTGAAATCAGCTAACTCTGGCAGCTTACCACAGAGCCTAGGTCCCTTACCTCCTGAAATCAGCTAACTCTGGCAGCTTACCACAGAGCCTAGGTCCCTTACCTCCTGAAATCAGCTAACTCTGGCAGCTTACCACAGAGCCTAGGTCCCTTACCTCCTGAAATCAGCTAACTCTGGCAGCTTACCACAGAGCCCAGGTCCCTTACCTCCTGAAATCAGCTAACTCTGGCAGCTTACCACAGAGCCTAGGTCCCTTACCTCCTGAAATCAGCTAACTCTGGCAGCTTACCACAGAGCCCAGGTCCCTTACCTCCTGAAATCAGCTAACTCTGGCAACTTACCACAGAGCCTAGGTCCCTTACCTCCTGAAATCAGCTAACTCTGGCAGCTTACCACAGAGCCTAGGTCCCTTACCTCCTGAAATCAGCTAACTCTGGCAGCTTACCACAGAGCCTAGGTCCCTTACCTCCTGAAATCAGCTAACTCTGGCAGCTTACCACAGAGCCCAGGTCCCTTACCTCCTGAAATCAGCTAACTCTGGCAGCTTACCACAGAGCCCAGGTCCCTTACCTCCTGAAATCAGCTAACTCTGGCAGCTTACCACAGAGCCTAGGTCCCTTACCTCCTGAAATCAGCTAACTCTGGCAGCTTACCACAGAGCCTAGGTCCCTTACCTCCTGACATCAGCTAACTCTGGCAGCTTACCACAGAGCCTAGGTCCCTTACCTCCGAGTCAACAAAGTGTCTCTGGTAGTAGTAGAAGCCTCGTCTACACATGTTACAGTGCTGCAGGGCCTTCTGCAGGAAGTGACGTCGGTACAGCTGGTGCCACGTGTCCTTAATCTAGAAACAAAGGAAGTAAAAGAGGGGACCAGTGTGAGAGAGGGACAATTTATAAGCAAAAGACATGCAGAGCTGTGGCAGAGTGGCAACATTTCCTGGCATGTCACATATACAACCCAAACAGAGACCGGGTTCAATACACGCGTTCACCTTTCCCACTGTTTCTCCCACTTGCTTGTCTCCCACTCTGATTACTTTACTGTCTGAAGTAAGGATGGGCATGAGTACTCGAGTACTCAAATGGACGTCAAAACTCGATCTTTAACCTAAGTATTTTTCAAATACTGTACAACTATTTGGTGGAATGTGCTTTGTGGCTTGTCCCAACAAAAAAAATGACATTTTGTCTTGAAGACAACGTTCATTTGCTTTGACTCTATTATTCCATTCGTACATGTGCATTTGCGGGGGCACAACAAAAAAGAAACCTAGGCAAGCATCCCTAAATTCAATTTCCCCTCCGTGTCTCACTCACTCAATTACATTCTGACCGCTCGTCTCTACATTCACATGCCGAGTTCTCACACAAGCTCCAGTTAGGCCTACAGAAACAGAGGCCTATAAGGTGGGCATAAACACATCTCTCACTGATGGGATACACAAGCTACATTCCTTTCCAAACAACAACAGTTGTATCACTAATTCAAAATGGACTGGTTGATTGAAGTTGGGAAATATGTGTTGCAACAACCAGCTGCAGTTTGGGAAATGTCTATTTTCCACTTGGGCTACTTTGTGAACTGCCAGTGCCATTTAAAAATCGGTTAGCCGAGGCTATAACCCCCCTAAACATACAGGTTTTCACACTGAAAATATGCAACAACATTAGTTTGATAAAGACAAAGAGCGTATTTTCATCAGAATCATTAAGCCTAGACCTACTCACCAAACAGATGTAGTGGCCGTAATTCGTCACCACACAGTCAGTGTTCAATGTAGAAATGCCAAATACATTTACAAAGTTCCAAAGAACATGCAGAATAAACTAAAACGAACGTCTGTAGGCCTTTAGCAAAAAGAAGACCGATGTTGGTTTATAACCTTGAAAAAGTTTCTTTTCAACGCGCCAAACTAAGCCCTGTTTCAAATGGTCACTGAGAATAACTGTTCCAGAAGCGCATCACTTCGCACTGGCAACGTTTTTAATTTGGGAAAACATTTGGTTCTATTTTATTCTGTTATATTACAAAATGTTTTTTGCTCTATAATAGGTGTCTTGACTGTAGGACCCCTGACCCCATTTAGTCGACTGGTCGATTGTTTGGTCGATAGGCTGTTGGTCAACCGAGATTTCTTTAGTTGAGCAGTAGCAAGTTTTTTTTCCCCCGTGGTGTATAAGACACCTGTCTGATTCGTACCTGTCTGAGTGGACTCAACCATTGCGATGGCACAGTCCATCAGTCTAAGACATGTGCTACTGAAATTGTATATGGTTATATTATGGTTATAATACGTAAGAACAAATGGTGCAACACACACACGTCTTCACTATTATTCTAAAATGTAGAAAATAGTAAAAAATAAAGATAAACCCTGGAATGAGTAGGTGTGTCCAAACTTCTGACTGGTACTGTATATCTACAGAAATAAGACAGATCATGCTTCTGTTTGACTGTTTGTTTAATAGCCTACTGATTCCGTGAGCACCAAGCCTCACGCAAGCACAACATGTCTGATAAACAATTTCACAAATTCGGCTGTTTTTAATATTTGCTATGCTGTAATAAAGGCTGTACACTTCTTTTTCTCTCGTTAGAACAGCCTGTCTGGTATTACTTATCATTTATTTACTGTTGTTTAAACTGTTCCAAATGGTCAGACAAATAATATCTATAGTAATAATAACCCTCCTTTTTCTTGATCTCCTTATTATTGTTATTACTATTATTATTACTATTATCATCATCATTATTATAATAATAAGTAATATCGTTATCATTAGCAGGCCTAGTAGCCTATAGCAGCCTTGTATAACCACCATCGAGCTGTAGGCCTAAGAGCGCATCCTGTTTAGTCTTAAAACTGTTACTTACTTAGGCCTATTTTTCAATACTTACATAGGCTACTGTATCAATCAATCATTCATTTGTTCATGTCATCACATTGCATATGATTCATTCATGATTTGAAATGCAATCAAGCATTTTAATTTTTAAAAATAAAATAAAGCGACCCTTCAATAATTAGCGTAAACAATAAATAAACCACTTCATTGCAAATAAATCACTTTATCACGAATGAATGCGACTGTTTTTAGTCTTTGCTGTAATAAAGGCTTTAAAAAGAACACACAAAAAAAACGCTTATAATTTACTTAGTGTTGTTTACGTTGTTCCAAACGGTCAGAAAAATTATATTGTAATCTAACAGTACCCGTTTGGCACACACAATATGCACGCAGTGCATGCTCCTTACATTCTTGGTCTTGATCTCAAATCAAATTTTACTTGTCACATGCGCCGAATACAACAGGTGTAGACCTTACAGTGAAATGCTTACTTACAAGCCCTTAACCAACAATGCAGTTTTAAGAAAAATAAGTGTTAAGTAAAAAATAGATCATTAAAAAATAAAGTACTCCAGTATTTTCCACAACTAGTCAAATATATTCCACACATCTGACTTCCCCTTTACCTCCTGAGTAACCAGTAAAGATTCCCCCGTTGCGAGTTTATTTGTCATGTCCTCTGCATCCATTTTGTTGTCACATGTGTTACAGTGGTCGGAGCTTGTTATAACCAATTTAGTGATGTGATTATGATATGCTACAGGTCAGCCCCTATTGGTCACGTGCATGTGAAGCATACATGTCAGGTAAAGAGAGCATGGGTTGAGGGAATAGGGAATGTTATTCCTAAACAAATGAGGGATTTCGGTAACAGAACTTTTCAGTCAGAAATGGCTGTAATTATGTTGCAGCTTCAGTAGCATGGACAGCGCGATAAACACTGTTGAAGTGCTGTAGTGGTCACTGTATCAGGGAGGAGAGAGAGACAATGGGTGCTAGTCACACTTGCTGTCTTTTTTTTTTTTTAACAGCGCAGCACGTCTGAGCACAATCAAATTAATTGCAGTCAGACTCCCTCTACTCATTTGGATGTGTCTATATGGAAAAATACATATTTAAACAAACGACTCTCGGTTGACCTGTCACACCCTGGCAATGGGACTCTAGTTGTTGAGCCAGGGTGTGTTTGTTCTATGTGGTGTGTTTCTATGTTGGGGGTTCTGGTTTGTTGTTTTCTGTGTTTGCCTTAGTGACTCCCAATCAGAGGCAACGAGTGTCAGCTGTTCGTTGGTTGTCTCTGATTGGGAGCCATATTTAAACTGTCTGTTTTTCATTCGGGTTTGTGGGATTTTGTTCCGTTAAGGTTGGTGTTGTGTATAACTTCAGGACGTCACGCATCGTTGTTTATTGTTTTTGTGTCGTGTTCAGTACAAATAAAGTATGTACGCTTATTACGCTGCGCCTTGGTCCTCCTCTCTCGCAGACGATCGTGACATGACCGAGACAACCCTACTTGACTGTGATAAGGGCTTTGGAAATAAGAGTTCCTTGTCTGCTAAATTAACTAAATAAGGCTAAGCCATTGCACAGCAATAGGCTTCTACAAGTAAGCACCACTGCTGAGGTTACTGCCTTTCTGAACAACTTGTTCAATTATATAATATAACCAGTTGATATTACAGTATCAATACATTAATATTAAATGACAATTGTTTTTTATTGACTGAATATATATGGGCATTTGAGATTTGTTATCTGTACCGGTTATGATAAATTAGGCATTGTTGTGCACTGTTGGCATATATTGTAGATAAATGGCACATATTCAATCATTGTTTTTGTGGAAAAAAATAATGTTATTACTCGAACAGTCAAAACAAATTCAATGCCCATCCCTAGTCTGAAGAAAGTGTCAAAACACAGAATACATACAGTTGATGTCGGAAGTTTACATACACCTTAGCCAAATACATTTAAACTCAGTTTACATACACCTTAGCCAAATACATTTAAACTCAGTTTACATACACCTTAGCCAAATACATTTAAACTCAGTTTACATACACCTTAGCCAAATACATTTAAACTCAGTTTACATACACCTTAGCCAAATACATTTAAACTCAGTTTTTCACAATTCCTGACATTTAATCCTAGTAAACATTTCCTGTCTTAGGTCAGTTATGATCACCACTTTATTTTAAGAATGTGAAATGTCAGAATAATAGTAGAGAGAATGATTTATTTCAGCTTTTATTTCTTTCATCACATTCCCAGTGGGTCAGAAGTTTGCATGTACTCAATTAGTATTTGGTAGCATTGCCTTTAAATTGTTTAACTTGGGTCAAACGTGTCGGTAGCCTTCCACAAGCTTCCCACAATAAGTTGGGTGAATTTTGGCCCATTCCTCCTGACAGAGCTGGTGTAACTGAGTCAGGTTTGTAGGCCTCCTTGCTCGCACACACTTTTTCAGTTCTGCCCACAAATTTTCTATAGGATTGAGGTCAGGGCTTTCTGATGGCCACTCCAATACCTTGACTTTGTTGTCCTTAAGCCCTTTTGCCACAACTTTGGAAGTATGCCTGGGGCCATTGTCCATTTGCAAGACCCATTTGCGACCAAGCTTTAACTTACTGACTGATGTCTTGAGATGTTGCTTCAATATATCCACATAATTTTCCTTCCTCATGATGCCATCTATTTTGTGAAGTGCACCAGTCCCTCCTGCAGCAAAGCACCCCCACAGCATGATGCTCCCACCCCCGTGCGTCACGGTTGGGATGGTGTTCTTCGGCTTGCAAGCAACCTCCTTTTTCCTCCAAACATAACGATGGTTATTATGGCCAAACAGTTCTATTTTTGTTTCATCAGACCAGAGGACATTTCTCCAAAAAGTACAATCTTTGTCCCCATGTGCAGTTGCAAACCGTAGTCTGGCTTTTTTATGGCTGTTTTGGAGCAGTGGCTTCTTCCTTGCTGAGCGGCCTTTCAGGTAATGTCGATATAGGACTCGTTTTAATGTGGATATAGATACTTTTGTACCTGTGTCCTCCAGAGTACGTTAATCTCTAGGAGACAGAACGCGTCTCCTTCCTGAGCGGTATGACGGCTGCGTGGTCCCATGGTGTTTATACTTGCGTACTATTGTTTGTACAGATGAACATGGTACCTTCAGGCGTTTGAAAATTGCTCCCAAGGATGAACCAGACTTGTGGAGGTCTACAATTTTTTTTATGAGGTCTTGGCTGATTTCTTTAGATTTTCCCATGATGTTAAGCAAAGAGGCACTGAGTTTGAAGGTAGGCCTTGAAATACATCCACAGGTACACCTCCAATTGACGAAAATCATGTCAATTAGCCTATCAGAAGCTTCTAAAGCCATGACATCATTTTCTGGAATTTTCCAAGCTGTTTAAAGGCACAGTCAACTTAGTGTATGTAAACTTCGGACCCACTGGAATTGTGTTACAGTGAATTTTAAGTGAAATAATCTGTCTGTAAACAATTGTTGGAAATATTACTTGTGTCATGCACAAATTAGATGTCCTAACCGACTTGCCATGTTAACAAGAAATTTGTGGCGTGGTTGAAAAACGAGTTTTAATGACTCCAACCTAAGTGTATGTAAACTTCCGACTTCAACTATAAATGTATAGCTCATGTCACAACAACATCTTAGTAGAGGGCATGCCCTCTCTACTTTATCTTGACCCTACAGGTGTGGTTATGTTACAAAGAGAGAGAGAGAGAGAAGTAGAGAGAGAGAGGTAGAGAGAGGTATAACCATACAACAAGAGAGAGAGAGAGAGGTAGAGAGAGAGAGAGTAGAACGATACAACGAGAGAGAGAGAGAGAGGTAGAGAGAGAGAGGTAGAGAGAGAGAGGTAGAACGATACAACGAGAGAGAGAGAGAGAGAGAGGTAGAGAGAGAGAGGTAGAGAGAGGTATAACGATACAACAAGAGAGAGAGAGAAGTAGAGAGAGAGAGAGGTAGAGAGAGGTATAACGATACAACAAGAGAGAGAGAGAAGTAGAGAGGTAGAGAGAGGTATAACGATACAACAAGAGAGAGAGAGAGAGAGAGAGAGAGAGAGAGAAGTAGAGAGAGAGAGGTAGAGAGAGAGAAGTAGAGAGAGAGAGGTAGAGAGAGAGAGAGAGAGGTAGAGAGAGGTATAACGATACAACAAGAGAGAGAAGTAGAGAGAGAGGTAGAGCGGTATAACGATACAACAAGAGAGAGAGAGAGGTAGAGAGAGAGAGAGGTAGAGAGAGAGAGAGGTAGAGAGAGAGAGAGAGGTAGAGAGAGAGAGGTATAACGATACAACAAGAGAGAGAGAGAGAGAGAGGTAGAGAGAGAGAGGTAGAGATGTTACTGTGATTGCCCCCTTCATTTATCAAAGGTGTGTGAGAACAAAAAAATTGTAAATGTTGCGTGCGCCAGTCTACCTGCAAAGGTTGGTATTTATCCATTTTGAACTTGACGGAAAAGCGTGTGTATCTTCACGCAAATCTCAAACCATAGGTGCGCACAACTTTTAGAAGGTTGATCAACTGTATTGCAAGCAAATTGGCTTATAGTTTGTTTGGGGGAAATGGGAGGTGTTTGATGCACAGGAACTGTAATAATGGTAGGCTATTAAAAACATTAAAACATAGGCCTAATGATAAAACAGAATCATTTGCCGTTGGTAAGGAGATCGCATAGCAGCATGTCGCCTAATATGTTCATTTTACTTTTAGTAAATACTATAGGTCTAAATCATAATCATATTGCAGGACGTCTCTCCTTTTCTGACATAACTGGTTTAAATTATTCCCACTACACCACTAATAGAATGGGCCGGTAATCTTGCAGAATGCGTTGCGAGTGTTTGGCACTCGCTAGGCGGCATGCATTTTTAGTTTGGAGAAGTCACTGCAACACCTCTACAGAAATGTGATCAAATTTGCCATTGCGCTTTCTTTTAGGAACTATCATGGCCCAGTTCCAACATCTTCAAATCATACAGCAAATAAGGGTGTTTGTGTTACCATAAAAAGGTGAATGGAGGGCATTTTCCAGGCGGGGTTGTAGTGCTCGTTCACGACAGCACAAATATATGGCTCTAATTTATTTATGCAAACATGCGCATATGTTGTGTGCGTCTCCACGTATGCTAGAATTTAGTAAGAAATGTACGCACGGTTGATAAATGAGGCCCCTGGTTCTTACCAGAACAGAACAGGCTCCACCTCCACCCCTCGAGGTTCTTACCAGGACAGGCTCTACATCCACCCCTCAGCCCTCCAGGTTCTTACCAGGACAGGCTCTACATCCACCCCTCAGCCCTCCAGGTTCTTACCAGGACAGGCTCTACCTCCACCCCTCGGCCCTCCAGGGTCTTACCAGGACAGGCTCTACATCCACCCCTCAGCCCTCCAGGGTCTTACCAGGACAGGCTCTACATCCACCCCTCCAGGGTCTTACCAGGACAGGCTCTACATCTACCCCTCGGCCCTCCAGGTTCTTGCGGACGGTGGTGACCTCGTCATTGGCCAGGTAGGCTGTGTGGTCCTCATGTAGTTTCAGCAGGCGCTCCAGCTCCTTTTTGGTTTCGTTGCGGATGTGCTGTTCGGGCGAGCGGTTCGTCCAGCTCATCCAGCGCTGTTTCCAGTCAGGACCCGCCATGTCATTTATCACAGAGTCAGCTAGAGAGAGCGAGAGGAGTGATGAAGGGAAGTGTGAAGAGAAGATGGGAAGACAGACGGAGATAGTGGTAGTAAGAGAGACAGAGCAGAGAGAGGAGGTGGAGAGACATTTTAATGTCTGACATATCTGACCATAACCCAGAAAGCTGGTGAGGTAAATAAAGCATTTGATAGAACAGGGGATAAGTTATGGTAAAGGTGGGGGTGTATAACCTACTGTCTTTGAGGCGTGCCTGCAGGGTCTCCTCCATGAACTGGATGGCTGCGTCCCACTGGGGCTTGTCTGTGATGGAGCGGTCCTCCAGAGTATTGTGCTGGATCACCCTCTGACAACATACAGACAGGAGAAACTACATTACCCATAAGGCATGGCAAGACAGGAAATCTGAATGTATACCAACGTTTGCCTGCTGTATATGTGGTTGAATATGAGAGTGTGTGTGTGTGTGTGTACATGCGCATGTATGTGTGTACACGGGCGCGTGTGTGTGCAGGGATTTTTTAAATCCATGGGCATTTTTTCCGGTCACCCAACAGCGTAAAAAATATATCCCAGACAAAAGTTTGGACACACCTACTCATTCAAGGGTTTATCTTTATTTTTAATATTTTCTACATTGTAGAAGAGTGTGCAAAGCTGTCATCAAGGCAAAGGGTGGCTATTTGAATTATCTCAAATAAAAAATATATTTTGATTTGTTTAACACTTTTTTGGTTACTACATGATTCCATACGTGTTATTTCATAGTTTTGATGTCTTCACTGTTATTCTACAATGTAGAAAAAACAAAGAAAAACCCTGGAATGAGTAGGTGTGTCCAAACCTTTGACTGGTACTGTATATATATATAATATATATATATATATATATATATATATATATATATATATAAATAAAATATAAAAATTAAAAACATTGAATAAAAAATATTAAAAACCACACATATACAGTGCATTTGGAAAGTACTCAGACCCCTTTACTTTTTCCACATTTAGTTACGTTACACCCTTATTCTAAAATGGATTCAATTGTTTTTTTCCTCAATCTAAACACAATACCCCATAATGACAAAGCAAAACCAGGTTTATAGAACATTTTACTAATTTATTATAAACAAAAAACTGAAATATCACATTTACATAAGTATTCAGACCCTTTGCTATGAGACTTGAAATTGAGCTCAGGTGCATTCTGTTTCCAATGATCAATGAGATGTTTCTATAACTTGATTGGAGTCCACCTGTGGTAAATTAAATTCATTGAACATGATTTGGAAAGCACACACCTGTCTATATAAGGTCCCACAGTTGACAGTTCATGTCAGCGGAAAAAAACAACACTTCCCGAATGCACTGTATACACATACACAGAATGTGGACACCCCTTCAAAATTAGTGGATTTGGCAATTTCAGCCACACCCGTTGCTGACAGGTGTATAAAATCGAGCACACAGCCATGCAATCTCCATAGACAAACATTGGCAGTAGAATGGCCATACTGAAGAGCTCAGTGACTTCCAATGTGGCACCGTCATAGGATGCCACCTTTCCAACTAGTCAGTTTGTCAAATTTCTGCCCCGGTCAACTGTAAGTGCTGTTATTGTGAAGTGGAAACGTCTAGGAGCAACGTCGTCTCAGCTGGGAAGTGGTAAGCCACACACATAGCGCATAAAAAATGTTGTCCTCGGTTGCAACACTCACTACCGAGTTCCAAACTGCCTCTGGAAACAACGTCAGCGCAATAACTATTTGTCTGGAGCTTCATGAAATGGGTTTCCATGGCCGAGCAGCCGCACACAAGCCTAAGAACACCAAGTGCAATGCCAAGAGTCGGCTAGAGAGGTTTAAAGCTCGCCGCCATTGGACTCTGGAGCAGTGGAAATGCGTTCTCTGGAGTGATGAATCAGCCTTCACCATCTGGCAGTCCGACGGACGGATCTGGGTTTGGCGGATGCCAGGAGAACGCTACCTGCCCCAATGCATAGTGCCAAATGTAAGGTTTGGTGGAGGAGGAATAATGGTCTGGGGCTGTTTTTTATGGTTCGGGCTAGGCCCCTTAGTTCCAGTAAAGGGAAATCTTAACGCTACAGCATACAATAACATTTCAGACGATTCTGTGCTTCCAACTTTCTGGCAACAGTTTTGGGAAGGTCCTTTCCTGTTTCAGCATGACAATACCCCTGTGCACAAAGCAAGGTCCATACAGAAATGGTTTGTCGAGATCAGTGTTGAAGAACATGACTGGCCTGCACAGAGCCCTGACCTCAACCCCATTGAACACCTTTGGGTTGAATTGGAACACCGATTGCGAGCCAGGCCTAATCACCCGACATCAGTACCCGACCTCACTAATGCTCTTGTGGCTGAATGGAAGCAAGTCCCCGCAGCAATGTTCCAACATCTAGTGGAAAGCCTTCCCAGAAGAGTGGAGGCTGTTATAGCAGCGAAGGGGGGACCAACTCTATATTCATGCCCATGATTTTGGAATGAGATGTTCGACGACCACGTGTCCACATACTTTTGGTCATGTAGTGTACATACATACATACATCATTTTTGTATTTATAAATTTTTGGGGATGGAAAAACACTTTCAGTGTTAAATAAAAAGACTAAAACCGGATATAAAGTATGTAGAAGAGATAATGGACCTATTTATTATTTTATAATATCATCTTTGAGAACTAACAAGCACCAAAATAAAACCTAGACAATCAGGGAGAATCGAAAATTCGAAAAACAATGAATTTAGCATTATTGATTTGTTATTATGTTTGAGCGAAAGAACACTGCATTAGCCATGGCAAAATGCATAAAACTGCAAAAATGTATTTCAGCTCCATGGAGAAATGTGTAGAATTGCAGGAGATTGTCTTAAAAACGTAAACATTTCTCTACACTGCCAAGACAGGAACATCTAAAATGTTCTCTAAAATTCACGGCGCCCATTGCCACGGCAACCACCTAAGCTCATTGTGTGTTTGTACCAGGCTGTCCATGGCTGTCTCGTTCCACTTGTGCCTCTTGATGCTCTCGTCCTTCACCGCCTCCTTCAGCTTGTCAAAGATGTCGTCCTGGTCCTTCCCTCTGTACTCAGCCATGAAGCGGGCAAACTCCTCCTGCAGAGTCTCCCAGGCAACCTGGGAGGGAACAGAGGACAGAGGGCCTTCTATCAACTCAACACCATTGCCAGCTACACACAACACTGACAAAGCTACAATACCCGTATACCACTCCTGTCATACCAACCAGAACACGCAAATTTGACTGGCACAGTAAATCCATTCATCTTCAATTATCAAAATAATCTCTTGACTTAGTCCTGACATGACACCAACGTCTCCTAATTATATTTATGTCCACAGTTAGCGAGAAGAGGTTTAGAGAGCTATTTGAGGCAGCAGTAGTGGAACTCTACCTCTAATGCTTTGTGAGGCAGCTGCTTGTCCGTCCACTGTTTGAGCTTGATGTCCACGGTGGTGTTGAAGGTACCAGAGTTCATGGTCTGGGCTGCAGGCAGGTAGATGTTCTCGATGACGTGGGTGGACACACGCTCCCACAGCTTCTTCTGCAGGATGGCCTCCCTACAGAGTTAAGATAGGAAAACAAGCACTTCTTGGTTGGACACCAGTTTGAGACGACACTGTGTGAGTGTACATTAATAGTCTAAAGTAGTGGCCTGTGTGGTTCAGCGGTTAGTTCCTCAAACCCCCGGCGCACACATAACCTACACCAGAGTCGGCATGGGTTCGAATCCAACCCAGTGCCCTCCTGTACCTCTCCTGTCTTCTCTTCACGGTCCTATCTCAATAAATAAATATATATAAACCCACAAATAAAAAGCCTCAAGTTGCTTCCTTTGGTTATGTCCTCTCCACATTTACAACTTATCTGAACAGGCATGATCACTGAAAGCAATAGGGCAGAAAGTGGTTGTGATATGTCCTTTGACTTGGCCAGATCTTTCATATATCAGGTTTTATGAAGGGACGGAAAATATCCTGTTTGGCAAAGGAGATAAACCCTTACTATTCAGACAACTTTACTGTAGAGTCCCAATGGCTGCGACCCAAATGGTGCCCTGCTCCCTACAAAGGGTGCCATTTGGTCCGCATAGCCATGAAAGCCCAGCAGCTTGTTCACTAAAGCAAGGCTCTTTATCTGAACAGGGCTCTGTGACAATGGGACAAACCCCAGCTCAATCCCCATGGGCTTCTGTTAAGACTAATTTATCATAAACACACCCACACCCACCACAGCTTCTACAACATTACATTGACATTTGAGTCATTTAGCAGACGCTCTTATCCAGAGCGACTTACAGTTAGTGAGTGCATACATTTTTCATACTGGCCCCCCGTGGGAATCGAACCCACAACCCTGGCGTTGCAAGCGCCATGCTCTACCAAGTGAGCTACAGGAGGTCCCTATAGCTGGCTGACGGGCATTTCAGACTTAGTTTAACAGCCTTTGAATATGAAGCATTCAACACTCAGTTGATGTTGGCCATGTAAAAATTATAAAATGTTTTTTTTTTTTTAAAAATCTAGAAATAGTCAATAATAATGTACATAAGCTGCAGGTGATGAAACATCATTTAAATGGGAAACATCAGGGCAAATACTAACCAGTGTTTCGGTGTCACTTGACTCAAGCTAATGACTTCGTCCAAGATTTCGTTCTTGGCTTTTTCGAAGAGTTCATTCTGGGAGGAAAAGACGAACAGAAGACTCGTGATTATTGGATGGAATCTGGCACTCCAATATGGCCGCTCTCAAAATCAGTAGACAGTTGAAGGACAATATTGTTGACTTGACATACCCTGTCCAGCTCTCTCAGACGGGGGTAGTTGTTCTTCCACTCAGTTTCCAGGTTGAAGCGGGACGCTGAGGAAGGAGAGGACAGATCGTTTCTCATAGAGAGTCTGTTTATACGTCTTTAACTGCTCTGTACTGTATTGAATGTACTAACTAAAAAGCCACAGAATAAGTTACAGAGGTATAAATCTGAGACATTATAATGGATATACGGTATACAAAAAGTGAGTGAGGATCAATACTATGTTTTTTGCCTCCATCGCTAAAGGTCCAAGCCAGGGTTGAGAGTCACGCTGCCCCAGACAGTAGCAGGTGAGCTAGTTGGTTAGACAGTCAGGCTGCCCCCAGACAGTAGCAGGTGAGCTAGTTGGTTAGACAGTCAGGCTGCCCCAGACAGTAGCAGGTGAGCTAGCTGGTTAGACAGTCAGGCTGCCCCAGACAGTAGCAGGTGAGCTAGCTGGTTAGACAGTCAGGCTGCCCCAGACAGTAGCAGGTGAGCTAGTTGGTTAGACAGTCAGGCTGACCCAGACAGTAGCAGGTGAGCTAGTTGGTTAGACAGTCAGGCTGCCCCCAGACAGTAGCAGGTGAGCTAGTTGGTTAGACAGTCACGCTGCCCCAGACAGTAGCAGGTGAGCTAGCTGGTTAGACAGTCAGGCTGCCCCAGACAGTAGCAGGTGAGCTAGCTGGTTAGACAGTCAGGCTGCCCCCAGACAGTAGCAGGTGAGCTAGTTGGTTAGACAGTCAGGCTGCCCCAGACAGTAGCAGGTGAGCTAGCTGGTTAGACAGTCAGGCTGCCCCCAGACAGTAGCAGGTGAGCTAGTTGGTTAGACAGTCAGGCTGCCCCAGACAGTAGCAGGTGAGCTAGTTGGTTAGACAGTCAGGCTGCCCCAGACAGTAGCAGGTGAGCTAGTTGGTTAGACAGTCAGGCTGCCCCAGACAGTAGCAGGTGGCTAGCTGGTTAGACAGTCAGGCTGCCCCAGACAGTAGCAGGTGAGCTAGTTGGTTAGACAGTCAGGCTGCCCCAGACAGTAGCAGGTGAGCTAGTTGGTTAGACAGTCAGGCTGCCCCCAGACAGTAGCAGGTGAGCTAGTTGGTTAGACAGTCAGGCTGCCCCAGACAGTAGCAGGTGAGCTAGCTGGTTAGACAGTCAGGCTGCCCCCAGACAGTAGCAGGTGAGCTAGTTGGTTAGACAGTCAGGCTGCCCCCAGACAGTAGCAGGTGAGCTAGCTGGTTAGACAGTCAGGCTGCCCCAGACAGTAGCAGGTGAGCTAGCTGGTTAGACAGTCAGGCTGCCCCCAGACAGTAGCAGGTGAGCTAGTTGGTTAGACAGTCAGGCTGCCCCAGACAGTAGCAGGTGAGCTAGTTCGTTAGACAGTCAGGCTGCCCCCAGACAGTAGCAGGTGAGCTAGTTGGTTAGACAGTCAGGCTGCCCCCAGACAGTAGCAGGTGAGCTAGTTGGTTAGACAGTCAGGCTGACCCAGACAGTAGCAGGTGAGCTAGTTGGTTAGACAGTCAGGCTGCCCCAGACAGTAGCAGGTGAGCTAGCTGGTTAGACAGTCAGGCTGCCCCAGACAGTAGCAGGTGAGCTAGTTGGTTAGACAGTCAGGCTGCCCCAGACAGTAGCAGGTGAGCTAGTTGGTTAGACAGTCAGGCTGCCCCCAGACAGTAGCAGGTGAGCTAGTTGGTTAGACAGTCAGGCTGCCCCAGACAGTAGCGGTGAGCTAGCTGGTTAGACAGTCAGGCTGCCCCAGACAGTAGCAGGTGAGCTAGTTGGTTAGACAGTCAGGCTGCCCCAGACAGTAGCAGGTGAGCTAGTTGGTTAGACAGTCAGGCTGCCCCAGACAGTAGCAGGTGAGCTAGCTGGTTAGACGGTCTCATTTTATTGTCCGAATGTCTCATCTGTTGGTGTTATGACTTAACCAGTAGAACTATTGACAACGTCACTAACAAGCAGTTTGCATAAGGACAGCTTCACTACTACCTGCTTTGATGATAAATAGAACCTCCTATGTTCGCACGAACACCGGGGCAGTAGGGATGGCGCCGTGGCTGAGATCACTCGCTAGAGAACACGCTCTTAATCAAAAGCCCAATCCAAAGGCCCACCCGGGGTGGGGGTTATTGGGCCAGGGTGTCCGGCGCCAGGCTCGGTGCCTGTGAGGAGGGGCTTTGACGTGCAGCAGATCAACAACACGCCACACAATGGGAAGGAGAGCAACAGGGACACACCACAGCCACAGGGCCATAAATCTAGTCCCTGCTGCTACAGTTAGTGAGGACCACCGGCTGGCTGGGATAATGGCCACTTGGAAGCAGCGCCGGGCGAGGGGAGAAGTGTGGCAGGATGGGCGAGGACAAGAAGGGGAAGGTGGGAGCGAGCAGAGAGGAAAAGTGTGCATCACTTGCTAACGAAGCTGGGTGGTGGTGCTCAGCCATGGATGTAAGAGGAGGTAGATGACTAGATGGCCTAGCATGAAGGAAAGGAGCAGGTGTTATAGCGGGTGCAGTGGAATGCTTATGCTACTAGCTCCTAACAAGGTAGTAAAATGTCAAACAAGTACACAAATAATTACAAAAATAACAAGAAATCTTGAACAAATCCAATTAACCTAAATAGCACTAACAGCAATCCAAATGCTATCTACACGTATATACACTGGATGAATTAACACAAGATATACTAAGAATGATATGTACAGCAGTAGATATACTAGAGTGAGCTACAGTATGTCAAGAATCCAGTGTACAGCAGCTAAGAACTTTTTAAACTTCAGATTATATTCTTCATGTGCACCAGTCTGGTTATAGACCGGGACCGTTTCAGCAGCTACGCTCGTCTTAAACGTGTTAAATAGCTTAGATCATAGGAATCACTGTGCTGCCATATTTACAGACCTATCCAAGGCCTTTTATACTGTCGACCGTCCCCTACTCATTCAAAGGTTGTCTGAAATGGGCCTTGACCAGGCGTTTTTTGCAAGTGGTTTGGGAACTAGACAGGACACAATGTGTGTGTGCTTTCTGATGGTGCCAAGTTACCTCGATATTACTAAAGGTGTCCCGCAGGGGTTGATTTGGGGATCTGTCCTCATTACAATCTGTATCAGGCTATGTTAGAGCTCCAATCTGATTTTGTTGCCTTGCAGAAAGCCCTTGTTGATTTAAAATTGGTACTTAATGCGGGAAAAACTAAATGATGGTTTACACATTTATGCATTGGATGGTTCTCTCGTCGAGCAGGTTCCAGCCTATAAATATCTGGGATTTTGGATTTACAAAAATGTGACATTTAAAAAAAACCTACGGATGAATTCGTTAAGAACCTGAGATTTAAAGAAGGCTTCTTTTATAGAAATAGATCATGCGCCTCTCCCTAAACATTAGGAAACAGGTTGTCCAGGCAACCTTCCTGCCAACTCTTGATTATGGTGACACCATTTATCAGAATGCAGCAGCCACTTCTCTAAAACCCTTGGATGTAGTGTATAATATAACCCTTGGATGTAGTGTATAATATAACCCTTGGATGTAGTGTATAATATAACCCTTGGATGTAGTGTATAATATAACCCTTGGATGTAGTGTATAATATAACCCTTGGCTGTAGTGTATAATATAACCCTTGGATGTAGTGTATAATATAACCCTTGGATGGTACCCTTGGATGTAGTGTATAATATAACCCTTGGATGTAGTGTATAATATAACCCTTGGATGTAGTGTATAATATAACCCTTGGATGTAGTGTATAATATAACCCTTGGATGTAGTGTATAATATAACCCTTGGATGTAGTGTATAATATAACCCTTGGATGTAGTGTATAATATCATGCTTCCTGTTATCAGAGGAGACAGGTTTGATACTCATCACTGCATCCTTTGTCAGAAAGTCGGCCGGACCTCTAAATTCCTGATAATCACTTCATTTCTCTTTTGTTTACAAAGCTCTGCTGCACAAGCTTCCAACATATCGCACTTCTCTGCTCACGGGGTTGGTTAATTCTTGAGATCCTTTGTGTCTCTACCTAGGTTAAATGGATAAGCCTTTGGGGAACACACCTCAGAGGACTATTCTGGGGCCCTAACCAGCCTGCTTACCTTTGAAGGCGTCCGCCTGCTGTTCCACTGACTCCCTGACCATCTTCCAGAAGCAGTCGGACACGGCCAGACTCAGGTTCTTGGTAGTCACCTGGTGGGCCTTCAGCATGCCGTCTCTGGGTTGGACAGAAGGACACAGGTCAGGATAACGCGTTCCAGCGCAGTTCCATTTCTATTCAATTAGAAAACAATTGAAAACAGATGGTAGGGAGTCAGGACACCCACCTGAGTAGTCTAGAGTTCTGGAAGAAGTCCTCTTCGTAATCTTTGATGGAGTCAATGCTTTCCCCGGCACTGCCTAAAGAAGAGGGGACAATAGAGATTCACGTCAGTGATTCAAGGCCTGACTACGGGACTTGTATTACTATAGAACTTTGGTTATGTAATTATTACCCCAGCAAGTCCGTTTCTCCAGTGGATTATTCGGACGGGATTAAGCCCTATTCAAACAGGAGTAGTATTACTAGAGAAGTTGGTTATGTAATTATTACCCCATTAGTGCGTTATTCCAGAGAACGATTCACACAGGAAAAGTTTTTCCAAACTGCCCCCTGTAATTCCTTTTTTAATGATATATATTTTTTGACTCATGGAAGCCTGGAGGTTTTTACTCTAGGTGTGAAGTCTAGACAAAAATAAGCTTTAGAAAACAATTGGTTGAGAGAATGCCAAGAGTGTGCAAAGCTGTCATCAAGGCAAAGGGTGGCTACTTTGAAGAATCACAAATATAAAATATATTTTGATTTGTTTAACACTTTTTGGGTTACTACATGATTCCATATTTGTTATTTCATAGTTTTGATGTCTTCACTATTATTCTACAATGTAGAAAATAGTAAAAACTAAGAAAAACCCTTGAATGAGTAGGTGTGTCCAAACTTTTGACTGTTACTGTATGTCTATACACACTGTGGCTTTCCTAAAGACTGTTCTAGATAGTGGGAGAGCCTGTTATTTACAGTGCTAGAATACAATTTACAAACAGTGCTAATGAGACTTATCCCTCTATAGTTCAATGGGATTTTAGGGTCATGTTTGGAGGATTTGTGGATAGGCTTGATTATGGATTCGTACTATCCAGATGGAATAATGCCATTCTCAAAACAAGCCTTGGAGAGTTCAAATAGTATTTGGAACAATTTAGGTGACTTCAAAACTTCATTAGAAAAATCATCAATTCCTGTAGCTTTCTTTGGTTTAGCATGCTCAACTACCTTCCTGACCTCCTCTAGGGTAACACTGGCATTCAGATGCTGGTTAGGGGAGTATGACTCCCTCTGCATTCAGATGCTGGTTAGCGGAGTATGACTCCCTCTGCATTCAGATGCTGGTTAGCGGAGTATGACTCCCTCTGCATTCAGATGCTGGTTAGCGGAGTATGACTCCCTCTGCATTCAGATGCTGGTTAGGGGAGTATGACTCCCTCTGCATTCAGATGCTGGTTAGGGGAGTATGACTCCCTCTGCATTCAGATGCTGGTTAGGGGAGTATGACTCCCTCTGCATTCAGATGCTGGTTAGGGGAGTATGACTCCCTCTGCATTCAGATGCTGGTTAGCGGAGTATGACTCCCTCTGCATTCAGATGCTGGTTAGGGGAGTATGACTCTGCATGTCCTCCTCTACCTCATCTTGACAATAACATGTTCCTTTAAAAAATTTAACAAATAAAACATAGAAAATAAAAGCGCAAAATCAGTTGTACAACTGAATGCATTCAATGGTCAAAAGTCGTGGTCAAAAGTTTTGAGAATGACACAAATTTTAATTTTCACAAAGTCTGCTGCCTCAGTTTTTATGATGTCAATTTGCATATACTCCAGAATGTTATGAAGCGTGATCAGATGAATTGAAATTAATTGCAAAGTCCCTCTTTGCCATGAAAATGAACTTAATCCCCCAAAAACATTTCCACTGCATTTCAGCCCTGCCACAAAAGGACCAGCTGACATCATGTCAGTGATTCTCTCGTTAACACAGGTGAGAGTGTTGACGAGGACAAGGCTGGAGATCACTCATGCTGATTGAGTTAGAATAACAAACTGGAAGCTTTAAAAAGGAGGGTGGTGCTTGAAATCATTGTTCTTCCTCTGTTAACCATAGTTACCTGCAAGGAAACATGTGCCGTCATCATTGCTTTGCACAAAAAGGGCTTCACAGGCAAGGATATTGTTGTTAGTAAGATTGCACCTAAATCAACCATTTATCGGATCATCAAGAACTTCAAGGAGGGAGGTTGAATCGCTTCAGGGCGCCCAAGAAAGTCCAGCAAGTGCCAGGACCATCTCCTAAAGTTGATTCAGCTGCGGGATCGGGGCACCACCAGTGCAGAGCTTGCTCAGGAATGGCAGCAGGCAGGTGTGAGTGCATCTGCACGCACAGTGAGGCGAAGACTTTTGGAGGATGGCGTGGTGTCAAGAAGGGCAGTGAGTAAGCCACTTCTCTCCAGGAAAAACATCAGGGACAGACTGATATTCTGCAAAAGGTACAGGGATTGGACTGCTGAGGACTGGGGTAAAGTCATTTTCTCTGATGAATCCCCTTTCCGATTGATTTGGGGCATTTCGGAAAAACTTGTCCGGAGAGAGGACAGGTGGCGCTACCACAGTCTGTGTCATGCAACAAATCCTGAGACCATTCATGTGTGGGTTGCTTCTCAGCCAGGGAGTGGCTCCTCACAATTGCTAAGACACAGCCATGAAAAAGATGGCAACACATCCTCGAGAGCAACGTCTCCCAACATCAAGAAGTGGTGCGAACATGCCTTCCACATATGGACCTTGCATAAGGCAAAGTGATACTAAGTGCTTGGGGACAAATAAAATGTTGGTCCATGGCGAACTCCGACTGTAATCCATTGAGACTTGTACACATCAAAGCGTGGACAAACAAAAACCACTATTCTAAAAACTCAAGCATTGATTATGCAAGAATGACTGCCATCATCAGGATGTGCCAGAGTTGAAGATGAGGCGCATCAGAGGTCTAAAAAAAGGGTCAAAATGCAAAATATGATCTTGCATAACTTAATGTAATTGTCAATAAAAGCCTTTGACACTTATGGAATGCTTGTAATTATACTTCAGTATACCACAGTAACATCTGACAAAAAATATCTAAAAACACTGAAGCAGCAAACTTTGTAAAGACCAATACTTGTGTCATTCTGAAAACTTTTGACCACGGCTGTAGATGAGCCCTCAGGAGGCAAATAACAGGAGAAAATATCAAAACAATCTCCAGATACTCGATGCTCAAATCACAGTCCCATCATGCCATCCACTGATTTGTCAGTCACATTTACTTTATAGGACTCAAGCATCTTGTTTCTAACTAAAAAGTCCAACTCCACCAGATACTTTAGGCTCTCTCTTACATGCCTTTTCCTATTATGTCCAAACCAAGTGTACCCGTCCATTTCAATTGAATGCTGACCTGTTAGATGTGTCTCATTCAGGATTATAATGTCAGGATTCAGTAAAAGTACATTCAATTGTCTTAGCTCACAGTTCAAAGCCGTCCAACCATTAAAGTTCCACTGAAGAAGATTAAACTGGTCGGCTCTTACTGGCTGGGCAGGTGAGTCTCAGTCCTCCTCACTGTCCCCGCCCCTTATACCAGCATCAGAACCAGATGAAGGCTGTTGCATAACTAGCCCACTCCCTGTGATGTAGAAGTTTTCCCGGTCGGGATCTCAGAACAATGAGTCGCTCCGTGTGAGACTTTGGTGATCCTTGAACCTTTCATCACTCTTCAGCTATTGTTTCTGCCAGAGGACAGCCACTTTCTCCTGGACAGAGCGTAGTTCCAGCTTGATCACGCCCGGCCCCGGACCCTCGCCCGCATCCGCTCTGCAGCTACTAGCTCCGGGTCATACTGGAGCAGAGTACCCTCGCTCTCTCCATCACTTCCTCTTCCTCTTCCAACGGTAGGCCTGCTATAATGATGGACACCTCAGGGTCGAATTTAGTGGATGGGTTTGCATGCACTCACTAACTGTAAGTCGCTCTGGATAAGAGCGTCTGCTAAATGACTAAAAATGTAAAATACCGTTTTCTAGGGTCACTTGCAGACCGTCAACTTTACAGTTCAGCCGTTTCGTGAAGCTTAAACTCATACCGTCTATTTTGTATTTAATTAGCCTCAGCTCATGCAGTAAGCCAGAGTCAGACTCTTTCTTGTCTTTTCCCCTGGTGGTCCTTGCGTATTTCTCACACATGTTGTTAACGATGTTGACCTTCAACAGTTGCTTTAGTTGTAGAGTATTTTTTTGTAGCGATATACACTCAAATTTACAAACCTTTTTGTTAAATGTTTGACACGATACACAACACACGAATTACAACACATGCGTTCTCTCGTAGGCTACACGTAACTCAATCTATACTTTTCTAAGGAAGCATAAAACAACAGAACATGTTGAAGTGAACAGTCCAGTGTTTTTAGATGTGTTTAAGATAGCTCTGATGGGTAAGGCTGGAGCAGGGAATGTATCTTACCTTTCCCGGTCACCACAGCAAAGTAGCCCAAGGCCTTCATAGGGAACAGCTTTCCTTCAACAATCTGTTGAATCTGTAGGGAGAAAACGACATGAATAAAATCCCAGATGAGAGGGCCAATGCAATCAAGTGTCATTGGATTTCATGCAGTCTGTACCTCGTGACTGTTTGAGTGTACCATTCAACTTTTTAAACTACTGAAAGGGTGCCCCTTTGTGGCTAAGGAGGCTCATAATTGTTTTCAGACCATTTGAACTTGTCAAATGTATTCAGTCCATGCTCATTGGGAGTACCTCAACTTGTCCACTGTTGTCATTTTCCGCTTCCCGTTGCAAAACGTCTTGAACATGTGTGTGTGCATGTGCGAGTGTGTGTGTGTGCATGTGCGTGTGTGTGTGTGAGCATGTGTGGTGTGGGTGTGTGAGCATGTGCGAGTGTGTGTGTGAGCATGTGTCGTGTGTGTGTGTGAGTTTATATCTCACCCGGTTAGGGCTGGCCAGGTTCTTCTCTGCTAGGTCTACTTTGGTCAGGACAAAGATGGTCCTCTTCCCCTGTGGGTCCATCTGACTGACCAGGTCTGTGACGATGCTGCGCTCTGCATCCCTGACCCATCTGATGGATGAAGGGTGAGAGAAGAGCATGTCAGGTAAAGGAGGAGAGGAGGAGAAGAGAAGAGACAAGAGGAGACATGAGATGAGAGGAGAGGTGAAGAGAAGAGGAGACAGGAGAGGAGACGAGACAGGAGAGGAACCAGGAGAGGAACCAGGAGGGGAGACGAGACAGGAGAGGATACGAGACAGGAGAGGAGACAGGAGAAGAGGAGACAGGAGATGAGACAGGAGACAGGAGAGGAGGAGACAGGAGACGAGACAGCAGACTTGAGAGGGGACAGGAGAGGAGACAGGAGAGGAGACGGGACAGGAGAGGAGACATGAGAGGAGACAGGAGACATGAGAGGAGACAGGAGACATGAGAGGAGACAGGAGACAGGAGAGGAGACAGGAGACAGGAGAGGAGACAGGAGAAAGGAGAGGAGACAGGAGAAGAGACAGGAGACGAGGAGACAGGAGAAAGGAGAGGAGACGAGAGACAGGAGACAGGAGAAGGAGAGACAGGAGACAGAGGAGGAGACAGAGAGAAGACAGGAGATGAGACAGGAGACAGGAGAGAGGAGAGGACGAGGAGAGAGAGGAGACAGGAGACAGAGAGGAGACAGGAGACAGGAGAGGACAGGACAGGACGAGGAGAAGAAGGAGACAGGAGGACAGGAGAGACAGGAGACATGAGACAGGGACAGAGAGACGGAGAGGAGACGAGAGAGAGACAGGAGAGGGAGAGGAGACAGGAGAAGGAGAGGAGGACAGAGACGAGACGAGGAGAGGAGAGACAGAGAGAGACAGGAGAGGAGGAGACAGGAGAGAAGGAGACAGGAGAGGAGACAGGAGAGGAGACAGGAGAGAAAAGAACACAGGATCAAAGTGGAGGCGAGGGATTAAAGAGAGGGAAAGGAGCTCTAGGATATTCCTGTTTGGTCATGGAAAGGTGACTCCAGTGTTGACTCACCCTGGATACAGAGGATGATGGCGTTGGGGTTCTGCATGTAGTTCTTACTGATGCTGAAGATTGTCTCCTTGGTGTCTGCTGCCATGCCTGCAGTCACAGTCTGAGAGGAACACACACCATCGCATCACCATCACTGCTCCTACCACTGTACGGTCTCTGTTTTCATACACATGTATGTGTTTCTGTACGTGTGGAGAGAGAGAAGAGAGAAGGAGAGTGTGTTTGTGGTGTGTGTAGTACTCACACTGATGACTCCTGGTAGGTCCACTAGTACCATCCTCTGGATGCCTGGTCCTTTGACACTCAGAGAGATCGTCTGTCACACAGGAAAAATAAAAAACATTTAGTCAGCACTAAAAACCGTCAGAGATCCACATACAGCTGGTACAATGCTGAGTAATAGTGAGCTTTCTTTATATGGCTGGCAGAGACATGGATGCATCCCAAATGGCACCCTATTCCCAAGTCTAGTAGTGCACTACTTTTGACTGACCACTCCTTTTGACCAGAGACCTATATCAAAAGTAGTGCACTATATAGGGTATAGGGGGCCATTTGGGATGCAGACAGAGGTACAAGGCAGAAGATGTGGAGCAATAGGGAGTTCTGTCCTCACTTCAGGGCTGACTGACTGTCCCTCCTTGACACTCTTCCTCATCCTCAGCTCGATCTCATGTCTCAGGGCAGCCAGCTGCAGGGAAGAGAGAATGAACCAATCAACAAGTGAATCAGTGTGAATGAACACCAATGAAAACACCAATGAAAAGATGATTCCATGGTGGGAGAGAGAGCGCCTCACTGTGTTAAACTTACGTCCTCCTCTTTTCCCAGGTCAAACTCTCGACTGCTGTCCTTGAACATGGCCACATGGTGAGGTCCCTCGCTCAGCGTCACCTAGTGGAGGGAGGGAGAGCAGCAGGTGGCAAAATGAAATGAATAACTGTCAGAGTCCCCAGTCCAAAACAACAACACTGCTCTGGTAACGCTACCCATCCATCCAGACAACACAGGCCTCATTCCAGCACTCAGACTGTGGACTACAACCTCCCATATGGAACAGTGCAGACCTAGAGAGCATCAAAGAGGAAATCCATCAAGGAATAGCCACAGCAGTAGGACAAGTCTGGACAAACAACAAAGCGGTCACCCCGCCACTTAATAAGTTATATTCTTCAAGAACAATGGCTATATATCAATTCCAAAAATGGAATGTACCGAATCTCAGATTGCCCCTTTCAAATAAGAATATAAATTGGGTCGGCAGGTAGCCTAGCGGTTAAGAGGGTTGGGCCAGTAACCGAAAGGTCACTGGTTCGAATCCCCGAGCCGACTAGGTGAAAAATCTGTCTGTGCCCTTGAGCAAGGCACTTCACCCTAATTGCTCATGCAAGTCGCTCTGGATAAGAGCGTCTGCTAAATTACTAAAATGTAAAAAATTAAATAATCAACACTACTGTGTCAAGTAAACGCTGGCTTCTATACATCTTTGATATCTTTACAGCTACAGTTAAGGGAGGTAGGGGTCTTGAGGGGTTAAGGTAGTCTAGTAAATGAGTTCCTATACCTTGACAGGAGAGCGGGTCATCATTTCCCCAGAGCCCCGGGGGAAGATCCTAGCCTGGGCGATCATCTCCAACACACTGGTCTTCCCTGCACTCTGGTCTCCCACCACCACCACCTATAGGAGGGAGGAGGGAGCGAGAGGAGGGGAAGGTTGGGTGGGGTGGTAGAGGGGAGGAGGGATTAGATGACATGGGCGTGATAGATAGCAGAGACCTACCATTTCACAACAATGCCTTTTCCTTTGCAACAGGAAACAATTGATGTATTTCTGGCATACAGTACACTCGAGAAAGGGGTCACAATAATGTCTCCATCATTTGATTGCATTTCCAGAAAGCCATGAGCTATTTGTTGTTTCTTACCCTGGGTAGATGGTCCTGGGTGTTGTAGTTCGAGTCGAAGTCTGAGAGGATGTCCAGGACCTCAGAGTACATGTCAATCAGAGACTTCTATAGAAGAAATACAGATGGAAGAACACTTAGAGCAATGCCTGATGGGAGAAGAAGTCTTTTTATTGAGGAGACGATAACAAAATAATGTTTCGAAACAAATTTCTTCATTAACTTTTACTCACATGCACAACCCTGGTATGTGTGTGTCGCTGCGTGTGTGTCGCTGCGTGTTTGTGCGTGTGTGTGTGTGTCGCTGCGTGTGTGTGTCGCTGCGTGTGTGTGTTTGTGCGTGTGTGTGTTTGTGCGTGTGTGTGTGTGTTTGTGTTTGTGCATATGCGTGTGTTTGTGCGTGTGTGTGTGTGCGTGTGTGTGTGTGTGTGTTTGTGCGTGTGTGTGTGTGTGTGTGTGCGACTCACACTCACCTTGACCTTCCTCTGGTGGATGCCCTTCTCATCTTTCTGCAGCACCACTTTCCTCAGTTCCTTGTTCTCCTTCTCCAGTCTCTCCAGCATGCGCTGGTACTTCATCTGAGGACAACAGAGAGAGAGAGAGAGAAGATTTCATCTTTAAATCACAAATTCTCTCTTAAATTCAGTGCATTTATCAATTAAAAAGTTTATTTTTATTTTATTTTACCTGACTTTACAAGGTCAATGTGGTTTAATATGTGGAGTCTACTGGAGGAAGGAGATGGACCATTTACCAAATTAAACTGGATTTTTACTGTGTAAATGTGGTATAATACTGGTGCTGTACCTGAGTTCGGAGCAGTTCCTCTTGAAGCTGGTCCACCTTCTCCTTGTCTGAAGACTGGAGACGCAGAGAGCAGTCACAGAAAGAGCAGGTTCATTAAACCTCTCCAACACAAGTCTAGGAAATGTCTTAACCCATCACCCTCTGTGAGCCAGTCCAAACCCACTGAGACCACTAGCATCATGACAAACAGATAACGTGCACATCACATCACATCACATAGATCAGTGGGGGCACAACAGTGGAGGAAAGACAAGTTAATGCAACAAAGGGGGATAACTGATTCCATTCCAGGTTGTAGTCATTCGTTTGGTCTTAATCTGTATACTGTGAATCACAGTGCAAAATCACACAGGCACAAGTCAAATCCAGCCCTGGAAAAGACGGCTGAATTATCGCAATCATCAATCAAAGAGATCATTTTCAAGATTATTACACCATGATGATTCACATGATTTCGGCAGCCACCCCAGATTAACAATTCCACACCTGCAATGCATTTTTGAGAGGGGGAGATCACAAAGCAGATCGAGGGAGACACAGCACCACTGAGCTGATGGGGACGGCAAGGAGGGACAGGAGATGAAACACACACACGGTACACACATATAGAAGACAGACAGGGGCTGTAGCTAAGGTGATTATGCTAACTACTTGCAAATTACAATGCCGTGATCATAGCCTATAGCATTCTATCTGATTAGGGGACTAAGAAAGATCTAGTACTGATTCCTATATCCTGATATAGTCCTGTCCTGATATATTCCTGTCCTGATTTAGTTCTGTTATACTCCTGTCATAGTCTTGATATAGCCCTGATATAGTCCTGTCCTGATATAGTCCTGATATAGTCCTGTCCTCATATAGTCCTGATATAGTCCTGTCCTGATATAGTCCTGATATAGTGCTGTCCTGATATAGTCCTGATATGGTCCTGATATGGTCCTGATATAGTCCTGGTCCTGATATGGTAGGTATGATTAGTCCTGTCCTGTCCTGATTTAGTCCTGTTCCTGATTTTAGTCCGGTCTTGATCTAAGTCCGGCTTTGATATAGTCCTGCTTATACTTCCTGTCATAGTCTTGTATAGTCTGATATTTTTCCTGTCCTGATATGGTACTGCTATAGGTCCTGTCCTGATTATAGTCCTGTCCTGATATAGCTTGATATAGTCCGGTCGTTGATTCTAGTCCTGATATAGTCCTGTCGGATATAGTCCTGCTTCCTGTCATGATATATTCCTGTCCTGATTTAGTTCTGTTATACTCCTGTCATAGTTCTTGATATAGCCCTGATATAGTCCTGTCCTGATATAGTCCTGATATAGTCTGTCCTTATATAGTCCTGATATAGTCCTGTCCTGATATAGTCCTGATATAGTCCTGTCCTGATATAGTCCTGATATGGTCCTGATATAGTCCTGTCCTGATATGGTCCTGATATAGTCCTGTCCTGTCCTGATATAGTCCGGGTCCTTATACTTACGCCACCCGGTCCTTGACTCATAGTCCCGCCGTCTTGATATAGTCCTGTTATACATCCTGTCATAGTCTTGATATAGTCCTGATATAGTCCTGTCCTGATATGGTCCTGTCCTGATATAGTCCTGTCCTGATATAGTCCTGTCCTGATATAGTCCTGATATAGTCCGGTCTTGATATAGTCCTGATATAGTCCTGTCCTGATATAGTCCTGATATACTCCTGTCCTGATATAATCCTGATACAGTCCTGATATAGTCCTGTCCTGATATAGTCCTGTCCTGATATAGTCCTGATATAGTCCTGTCCTGATATAGTCCTGTCTTGATATAGTCCTGATATAGTCCTATCCTGATATAGTCCTGATATAGTCCTGTCCTGATATAGTCCTGATATAATCCTGTCCTGATATAGTCCTGTCCTGATATAGTCCTGTTATACTCCTGTCATAGTCTTGATATAGTCCTGATATAGTCCTGTCCTGATATAGTCCGGTCTTGATATAGTCCTGATATAGTCCTGTCCTGATATAGTCCGATATAGTAATGTCCGGATATAGTCCTGTCCTGATATGGTCCTGATATAGTCCTGTCCTGATATAGTCCTGTCCTGATATCGTCCTGTCCTGATATCGTCCTGATATCGTCCTGTCCTGATATAGTCCTGTCCTGATATAATCCTGATATAGTCCTGTCCTGATATAGTCCTGTCCTAGTCCTGATATAGTCCTGTCCTGATATAGTCCTGTCCTAGTCCTGATATAGTCTTGTCCTGATATAGTCCTGTCCTCATATAGTAGTGATATAGGCCTATAACCCAATTACTGTATAGCTGATATCGAGACTTATTTCAGAAGTGCACAGCACACCATGCAGTGGGGTGTCACTCCACTCCATACAATTTTGGTTAGTGGAGTGTTGCGTTAGTGGAGTGTTGCGTTAGTGGAGTGTTGCGTTAGTGGAGTGTTGCGTTAGTGGAGTGTTGCGGGAGGAGCGTTGGTCGTAGTCCAGCGGTTTACATGAGAGAGGGAGCCAGGGCTATGTTACTGTGGTACTGAACTGGCGTGAGCTGATTCTGAGATTGCCAGGCATCAGACATGCCATTCCACCAGTGGCACAACATGGTGTGTCACGGCACACTGCCCTGAGGGACACCATGTGGATGGATGATTTTTTTTCAATGCCTTGTTCAAACTAAGAGGAAGTTTGAGGGAGTAGGCAGGGTACTATGTCTGGGCGGGTTGAATGAAGCGAGATGGCAATGTGTGCTATGCAGCATATGTAGGCTAACTAGCATATGTAGGCTAACTAACATATGTAGGCTAACTAACATATGTAGGCTAACTAGCATATGTAGGCTAACTAGCATATGCAAACTAACATATGTAGGCTAACTAGCATATCCAAACTAACTTGGTAAGACAAAAACAGCTAGCCCAGAATCAAATAAACTGACCAGAACATTTTGGGTAAAGTGACACGAAAGATGTGGTTAATTAAATATTTGCTAATTATCACTGCATTGTATTCAGCGATTGAAAACTAGCACTGCACAATACGATTAGCATATAGCATAGGCTATAAAAAGACAATGGTAGAAATCAACAATGACTAGAGGTTCAATAAAGTGCCTTCTTGTCCACTTTTCATAGGATATGTGAGCTAGGAAGGAGCTCTAGGCTTGCTCAATGGTACCAATCCAAACGACATATGACAATAGCAATTTCATCCACCAATCTCATCAACAGTATTCCTTATAGAATTACCCGGCAAATTTCCGTTAGCGTGAATTTGAACGGCAGGGGGTTTGTCCTTCCTGAGGAGGGTAGGTGGGTTTGGGTGCGGTTCTACTGTTTACGTACTGAAGGGGGCTTCTACGGATGAGTGCTGGGTGCTGGTGGGGGGCAGGGTGGGTAGGACCTTCACCTTGCGTTTCTGCCGAGGGGGGCTGGGGCTGGGGTTCGGGGCGGTGGCTGGCATTGGCTCGGGTATCTGGCGCGGGGGCGGGCTCAGAGGTGGTGGTGGTGGTGGAGGAAGGCGCGGGGGTGGGCTGGGGGCGGGCTCTGGGCTTGGCTGTGCGTTATCGGCTGCGGAGGCCCGCCAGACGACCTCCTCGGCCTGCTGGATCTGCTGCTGAATGAGAATGAGCTCGTCGAGCAGACCCTGAGGGACGTCACAGTGAGAGAGAAGCAGGAGCAACACAGCCGTCAACACAACATACTGTACCCATCATTCAAGCAACACACTGACCAACCAACCAGGCTGGAGCTGAAGCCAGGGCTGACCTATAGATAGATAGACATGGAGTCGTCTATGCCCACAGAGTCGTCATCATCATAGGACCTCTGGTCACCATTCTGTCAAGGCTCGGGGGAAACTGAATCCATGTCTAGGTCTTGCCACCATCAGCGGTACCCAACAGTCAGACTTTCTCTGTCACAGAGACTCCAGAACAGACTTAGCCAGTCCGGAGACTGAAAGCGGATGAGGCAACTGATACCACAACCAGTGTCTCTCAGCCAGTGGCACACAGGGGTAAGATTCTGTACGGTTTCTGAGCAGTATTCCATAGTGACCATTACTTTGGTTTTTATAGTAATACTAAAACACAACTGATGTCCTCCAACTTACACAATGATCATGCTATAAGAGGCAATGAAAATATGACACATGAAAACTCTTAATATTCAACAGGCTTAAGGATAATGTAGATGTGGATACATTATTGAATGTGGATAAACTATAACAAATTATTCCTTATATTCAAAACACGTAATACAATCACCATAAAAATGTGGGATTTGGGTCAGAATCATACAATTATATCTGTTAAAATCAGCCTGATGATAAACGAAGCAAGCTGCGCTGGGAAGAGGGTTTCAAAATTCAGGTAACTTTCCCAAAATCCCTAGGTTTTCCAGAAATCCCAGTTGGAAGATTTTCTGGAATCAAGAGGGAATAAGCAGGAAATCTATGAATCCTCCAAACACGATTTCTGGAAAACCTGGGAAATTTGGGAAAGTTACTGTACCAGGCCAGGGGGAGATGAGCAGAAAGCTTGCTGCAGGCCAGGGGGAGATGAGCAGAAAGCTTGCTGCAGGCCAGGGGGAGATGAGCAGAGAGCTTGCTGCAGGCCAGGGGGAGATGAGCAGAAAGCTTGCTGCAGGCCAGGGGGAGATGAGCAGAAAGCTTGCTGCAGGCCAGGGGGAGATGAGCAGAAAGCTTGCTGCAGGCCAGGGGGAGATGAGCAGAGAGCTTGCTGCAGGCCAGGGGGAGATGAGCAGAGAGCTTGCTGCAGGCCAGGGGGAGATGAGCAGAGAGCTTGCTGCAGGCCAGGGGGAGATGAGCAGAAAGCTTGCTGCAGGCCAGGGGGAGATGAGTAAAGCCACAGCCCAATGGTCCCCAACTCTTCCCTCTCCCTTGGCTTTAGCTGCCCAATGTACATCCAAAAACTGAGGCAACTGTTATATTGAGAGACTTTCCAGAACTATGAAGCAGGGTTGGGGTCTGTTTTACCTCAGTCCATTCAGGTAATTAATAAATAAATAAATCCATTACAAATTCATTAATTTAATATTTAAAAAACATTGAGTTGAGACTGAATTGACCCCAACCCAGGAATCACGTTGGTCTATGATAGTGTTTTTCCATGTTAGGGACCACTGCTTTAGACTTTTAAAAAAATTCCTCACTTGAGTAGCAGGACTATTCCACTGAACATGGGGACTTTTTCTTTGCAACTCTGCCTAAAAGGTCAGCATCCCAGAGTCGCCTCTTCACTGTTGACGTTGAGACTGGTGTTTTGAGGGTACTATTTAATTAAGCTGCCAGTTGAGGACCTGTGAGGCACCTATTTCTCAAACTAGACACTAATGTATTTGTCCTCTTGCTCAGTTGTGCACCAGGGCCTCCCACTCCTCTTTCTATTCTGGTTAGAGCCAGTTTGCGCTGTTCTGTGAAGGGAGTAGTACACAGCGTTGTACTCCCAAAATAAGGAAAACTGCACAGCATCGTGTCAGCTAAGCTGGATTCTGTGCAAGAATAAAGGCTACCTGACAGGCTCACTTTCCCGTTGAACTCGTCATGTTTCTTCTCGAATCCGTAGGTCATAAAACAATATAGAGGTAAGATAGATATCGATTTTGAGACATTACATTTTTGTATACACTTTTCATATTAATTAGAAATTTCTGTTATTTTTCTGAGATTTCACACAAAAACAAGCGTATCTCTGAAATGTCAACGGAGCATTGATTGTACAAGCTTTTAAATTTCAAAGCCTTTTACATTTTATTCAGCTAGTGTGATGCTAATTTTGCGAACCGCAGAAACAGCTTTGAAGACGACCACCACCACATGTAAAATCCTCAAAAGTAGCTGCGAGAAAGCGGTGGTCCTCTGTAGCTCAGCTGGTAGAGCACGGCGCTTGTAACGCCAAGGTAGTGGGTTCGATCCCCGGGACCACCCATACACAAAAATGTATGCACGCATGACTGTAAGTCACTTTGGATAAAAGCGTCTGCTAAATGGCATATTATTATTATTATTATTATTATAAAGCTGCACCACTGTCAACAGAGCTTGGTGCTTACTATCGGATGTATTAAGTTACAAAGTTTCTCCCATTCTTCTCTGCAGATCCTCTCAAGCTCTGTTAGGTTGGATGGGGAGCGTCGCTGCACAGCTATTTTCAGGTCTCTCCAGAGATGTTCGATCGGGTTCTAGTCCGGGCAACTCAAGGACATTTAGAGACTCGTCCCGAAGCCACTCCTGCGTTGTCTTGGCTGTGTGCTTAGGGTCGTTGTCCTGTTGGAAGGTGAACCTTTGCCCCAGTCTGAGGACCTGAGCGCTCTGGAGCAGGGTATCATCAAGGATTTCTCTGTTCATCTTTCCCTCGATCCTGACTAGTCTCCCAGTCCCTGCCGCTGAAAAACATCCCCAATGATGCTGCCACCACCATGCTTCACTGTAGGGATAGTGTAACATTTCCTCCAGAAGTGACACTTGGCATTCAGGCCAAAGAGTTCAATCTTGGTTTCATCAGACTAAAGAAACTTGTTTCTCATGTCCTTTAGGTGCCTTTTGGCAAACTCCAAGCGGCCTGTCATGTGCCTTTTACTGAAGAGTGGCTTCCGTCTAGCCACTCTACCATAAAGGCCTGATTGGTGGAGGGCTGCAGAGATGGTTGTCCTTCTGGAAGGTTCTTCAATTTCCACAGAGGAACGCTGGAGCTCTGTCAGAGTGACCATCGGGTTCTTGGTCACCTCCCTGACCAAGGCCCTTCTCCCCCGATTGCTTAGTTTGGCTGGACGTCCAGCTCTAGGAAGAGTCTTGGTGGTTTCAAACTTCTTCCATTTAAAAATGATGGAGGCCACTGTGTTCTTGGGGACCTTCAATGCTGCAGAAATGTTTTTGTACCCTTCCCCTGATCTGTGCCTCGACACAATCCTGTCTCGGAGCTCTACGGATAATTCCTTCGACCTCATGGCTTGGTTTTTGCTCTGACATGCACTGTCAACTGAGGGACCATATATAGACAGGTGTGCCTTTCTAAATCATGTCCAATCAATTGAATTTACCACAGGTGGACTCCAATCAAGTTGTAGAAACATCTCAAGGATGATCAATGGAAACAGGATGCACCTGAGCTCCATTTTGAGTTTCATAGCAAAGGGTCTGAATACTTATGTAAATAAGGTATTTCAGTTTTTTTATACATTTGCTAAAATTTCTAAAACCTGTTTTCCCTTTGCCATTATGGGGTATTGTGTGTAGTTTGATGAGGAAACATATTTATTTAATCCATTTTAGAATAAGGCTGTAACATAACAAAATGTGGAAAAAGTCAAGGGGTCTGAATAATTTCCAAATGCACTGTATAGGTAGTCAGCCAGGACTGTGGTCAATCCCAAACTCAGCCCAGTAAAAATGATGTGAAATTCAGTTAATGACCTGAAAAACAACGCTTTACCTCTAGGAGTTTTAGACTCAAGACCTGAATTTCACTTCATTTCACAAATTGACTGGAGCTGAAATGGCATTGCCATTGACCCAAACTGCAAACTCCAAAATGCAGTAGTTTACTGATGAGGAGGCCAAGCTATATGCCACAGGGAGCGAGGGTGAGCTAGTCAGGCGGTGCAGAGCAGACTTACCTTCTTAAACTGCTTGCCGCTGGCCTCTGGTGTGGACGTGACTGGGGCCTCTGTGGCAGATTTCACTGGAGTGTCCCCAGGGGCTTCTGCAAGGAGACAAAAACAGCGTAACACATGACAAAAATCATAAGGTTACCCACACATGATTACACATCATCGATAATAGTTTATTAGCAAAAAACAATAATGAGTCAAATGTATTGGCATGCCCAACATTAGAGAGGACTCTATCTAGTGTATATGCCCCAGATCAGAAGCAGCACCCACGTGATGGAATCTCAAAGGTTTGGAAAATATTGCTCACAATAACATTTGGGAGCTTGTGCTTTTCATTGGATCTCCGACCAGTTATGTCTGATATGGTACTATAAAATAATGACAATGAAATAATTAATTAATTGCCGTCAAATCGGCTAAACCTTATACAGTACTGTTATGAAAGACTTGGTTTGTTTCTCTCCTGTACAACACAGCGTGGCATTGGGACATGCTACAGAGCCAGCTGGACCCGTAGCAAAACATTAACTTTGTACATATTTATACACTGCCCTTGAGAATGTCATGGAACAACAATCCTTCATCCAGCCAATGAAAGACCTGTCAATAACAAGCCTCACAACTACAGTACAGGACTATGTCCCAAATGGCACCCTATTCCCTACATAGTGCCCTACATTTCCTATATAGTGCCCTATGGGCCTTGTGACCAGAAGTGCCCTATGGGGAATAGGGTGCCACTTGCGACACAACCCAGGAATACACCTATTGTTTTAGCAAGTCAAAGAAGAGGTATGGATGGATGGAGTTCAAGGTGTTTCCATCTCTCATAGAGAGATGTATCTTCCAAACATTTGAGAGGCATCAGCTACCAGCAGATAAGGAGAGCCCTCTAAGACAAGGACTAGCCTCCCATAATGTAAGTACAGGGGGAGAGAGACCAAAGAGGCCAGGGAAGCCAGGGAGAGCCAGGGAAGCCAGGGAGAGCCAGGGAAGCCAGGGAGAGCCAGGGAAGCCAGGGAGAGCCAGGGAAGCCAGGGAGAGCCAGGGAATCCAGGGAGAGCCAGGGAAGCCAGGGAGAGCCAGGGAAGCCAGGGAGAGCCAGGGAAGCCAGGGAAAGCGAGGGAAGCCAGGGAGAGCCAGGGAAGCCAGGGAGAGCTAGGGAAGCCAGGGAGAGCGAGGAGGAACTTGTAAACCAAAAGAAGGCAAAAACACACAAGCAGGAAAAGTGACAAAAGCCAGTCAGATGAAACCAAAGCGAAGGCAGGAGATAAAGCACTGGATCTGTTGTTAAGACCACTGTAGAACACAAGACTGTAGACCAATTCAATCCAATCGAAGTATGTCCAATTCAGTTGTCAATTTTGGTTTTCAGAGGAATTCGATTACATAATTAGACAGTGAACAAAATGTCCATCTCTACACCCTTCTGATATCAATAATATGACATAAGGATAAATCCTCTACATCAATGAAAGCCTTTATGTCAATCATAGCACACTCTGGTATTGTCTCCACCCAAAAAAAACAATCCTTCCATCAATCATGTGTCATTGGTGTCTCAAACAACAGCAGCATTGAATAAAGACAATGAGTTGGTAGTCTGGAACGCAATTTCGTGTTGGATTTGGAGGTCCCCATCCAGGAACACTTGACATCGTCTTCGGCTCCAAACCACTGCTAAACAGGTCTGCAAGGGTGCTGCCGCATACACACCAATGCTGGGTATTCAAACAGCACCAGGGCGGAGAGGGGGGGACTGAGTGTGGGGGGGTACACACCTAACAACAGACTCTGACCAGAAGCTCCTTTACTACCAACACCTGTGAAGAATGCAGAGGGGAGGGAGGGGAGGGGAGGAAGGAAGAACACAAAACAAATCAAAAGACCGAAGCAAAGGGGTCAGAGGTCACTGCTGGAGACATGTTTCAAGGCCCTGCTGTGAGCTTGTTGTCATGGCTGCGTGCTGCAAGTACGGAGTTGGATACCATTGGCAACGTGTGCAATCCGGGCACGTTATTGTGATACTACTAAAAATGCAGGATAGCTAATCGGGAAAGTGAAAAGTGATTGCAACTTGTTAGCGAAACCCCTTTTTTTGCTGGAAAGTATGAGGGTAGATTGCTGGGTAATGCAGGTATGAATCAACAAAAAGAAGCCCACTTCAAGTTCAGATTACCAATGACGTCAACTGTGATTTTCTACCACTTGAAGCAGCTGCTATAGCTATTCTGGGTTCAAAACTCAAGATGTTTATTTATCACTTTTGCCACTTGTTCAAAAAAAGATACAATCCTGGCCTAAAAAAATGGATGACCTGCTTTGTCTGACATAGCCTCCAAAAAGCCTGTACTCACCGGTGAAGAGAATGCTTTTGAGGAAGGTGACGTTCTCTCCTATCTTATCTAAGTCAGGTAACTCGGGTAGCAGCTTGGCAATCTCCTCCAACTCAGGCAGCACTTTGGTTAGTTTATCTGTGTGCAGAAGAGAAGTGCGATAGGGTAGGTGGAGTTTACCCTTTGAACATGAGAATCAAATGAAACAAACGAACTAAGCAGCCTTAACAGAAAGACAGCACTGGCTCAGCCCAAATACACTGCTCAAAAAAATAAAGGGAACACTTAAACAACACAATGTAACTCCAAGTCAATCACACTTCTGTGAAATCAAACTGTCCACTTAGGAAGCAACACTGATTGACAATACATTTCACATGCTGTTGTGCAAATGGAATAGACAACAGGTGGAAATTATAGGCAATTAGCAAGACACCCCCAATAAAGGAGTGGTTATGCAGTTGGTGACCACAGACCACTTCTCAGTTCCTATGCTTCCTGGCTGATGTTTTGGTCACTTTTGAATGCTGGCGGTGCTTTCACTCTAGTGGTAGCATGAGACGGAGTCTACAACCCACACAAGTGGCTCAGGTAGTGCAGCTCATCCAGGATGGCACATCAATGCGAGCTGTGGCAAGAAGGTTTGCTGTGTCTGTCAGCGTAGTGTCCAGAGCATGGAGGCACTACCAGGAGACAGGCCAGTACATCAGGAGACGTGGAGGAGGCCGTAGGAGGGCAACAACCCAGCAGCAGGACTGCTACCTCCGCCTTTGTGCAAGGAGGAGCAGGAGGAGCACTGCCAGAGCCCTGCAAAATGACCTCCAGCAGGCCACAAATGTGCATGTGTCTACTCAAACGGTCAGAAACAGACTCCATGAGGGTGGTATGAGGGCCCGACGTCCACAGGTGGGAGTTGTGCTTACAGCCCAACACCGTGCAGGACATTTGGCATTTGCCAGAGAACACCAAGATTGGCAAATTCGCCACTGGCGCCCTGTGCTCTTCACAGATGAAAGCACGTGACAGACGTGACAGAGTCTGGAGATGCCGTGGAGAACATTCTGCTGCCTGCAACATCCTCCAGCATGACCAGTTTGGCGGTGGGTCAGTCATGGTGTGGGGTGGCATTTCTTTGGGGGGGCCGCACAGCCCTCCATGTGCTCGCCAGAGGTAGCCTGACTGCCATTAGGTATCGAGATGAGATCCTCAGACCCCTTGTGAGACCATATGCTGGTGCGGTTGGCCCTGGGTTCCTCCTAATGCAAGACAATGCTAGACCTCATGTGGCTGGAGTGTGTCAGCAGTTCCTGCAAGAGGAAGGCATTGATGCTATGGACTGGCCCGCCCGTTCCCCAGACCTGAATCCAATTGAGCACATCTGGGACATCATGTCTCGCTCCATCCACCAACGCCACGTTGCACCACAGACTGTCCAGGAGTTGGCGGATGCTTTAGTCCAGGTCTGGGAGGAGATCCCTCAGGAGACCATCCGCCACCTCATCAGGAGCATGCCCAGGCGTTGTAGGGAGGTCATACAGGCACGTGGAGGCCACACACACTACTGAGCCTCATTTTGACTTCTTTTAAGGACATTACATCAAAGTTGGATCAGCCTGTAGTGTGGTTTTCCACTTTAATTTTGAGGGTGACTCCAAATCCAGACCTCCATGGGTTGATACATTTGATTTCCATTTATAATTTTTGTGTGATTTTGTTTTCAGCACATTCAACTATGTAAAGAAAAAAGTATTTAATAAGATGATTTCATTCATTCAGATCTAGGATGTGTTATTTTAGTGTTCCCTTAATTTTTTGGAGCAGTGTACTACATCCAATTCACATCAGATTAACCACACACTTCACTGATTGACAGGAAATAAACCAACATGACAAGTTATTTAACAGTGGTAAATCTATATCAGAATTTCAAGTTCATAGGCTTCTAATGAGTCATTTCATGTAGGGGGTTTTCTGCATAAATGTTTTTTTTTCAGGCCGCCTAAATCCAAACAGTAAAACAAATACAAATAATTTTTCGGCATTGAAAAACATTTTAAGTGTAAAGTGAAACAGATACAAAGTATGTAAAAAAAAATTTAATAAAATGACAACGGATCTATATATTTTAATAAGATCATCTTTGAGAACTAACAATCACCGAAATATAGCTATAAAGTCAGGGAGAATCTAAAATTCCAGAAAATTATGCATTCAGAAGTTTTTTTGTTATGGCATGGGGCCCCCACTGACTTTGTTATAATGTTTTGAGTTACCCAGATAGCATAAGAACATGGAATAAGCCATGGAAAAATGTGTAGAAAGAAGGGCCACTAAATTTTCCATTGTGTAGAAAGGAGGGCCACTAAATGTTCCATTGTGTAGAAAGAAGGGCTACTAAATTTGCAGTTGAGTAGAAAGGAGGGCCACTAAATTTTCAGTTGAGTAGAAAGGAGGGCCACTAAATTTTCCATTGTGTAGAAAGAAGGGCTACTACATTTTCCGTTGAGTAGAAAGGAGGGCCACTAAATGTTCCGTTGTGTAGAAAGGAGGGCCACTAAATGTTCCGTTGTGTAGAAAGGAGGGCCACTAAATGTTCCATTGTGTAGAAAGGAGGGCCACTAAATTTTCTGTTGAGTAGAAAGTAGGGCCACTAAATTTTCCGTTGAGTAGAAAGGAGGGCCACGCCCACCACCTAAGCCCCATTTTGATCCAGAAAAAAAATCTTACCTAGGTCAATGTGTTTACTCAGCTCCCAGAAGAAATCAGGTATTACCCAATTGTATTCACTCATATCAGGCAGCATATCCTTCCATTCCTCATAGGTCTGGAAGAACAGAACAGAAGTGGCATTTCAATCACATGGTCAATTTACAATTTTAAATGGGACAAAAAAAATACCTCAGTTAAAGATTAACAACAACAATATTTCAAGGGATGGATTAGGGCACAACAATTGGACATACAGTGCATTCGGAAAGTATTCAGACCCCTTCCCTTTTCCACATTTTGTTACGTTACAGCATTATTCTAAAATGGATTACATACATATTTTCCCTCATCAATCTACACACAATACCACGTAATGACAAAGTGAAAACAGGTTTTTAGAAAATAAAATATTTATATAAGTATTCAGACCCTTTGCTATGAGACTCGAAATTGAGCTCAGGTGCATCCTGTTTCCATTGATCATCCTTGATTGGAGTCCACCTGTGGTAAATTCAAGTGATTGGACATGATTTGGAAAGACACACCTGTCTATATAAGGTCCCACAGTTGACAGTGCACGTCAGAGCAAAAACCAAGAGCTCCGAGACAGGATTGTGTCGAGGCACAGATCTGGGGAAGGGTAACATAAAAGTTCTGCAGCATTGAAGGTCCCCAAGAACCAAGTGGCCTCCATCATTCTTAAATGGAAGAAGTTTGGAATCACCAAGACTCTTGCTAGAGCTGGCCGCCCGACCAAAATGAGCAATCGGGGGATTAAGGCCTTGGTCAAGGAGGTGACCAAGAACCCGATGGTCACTCTGACAGAGCTCCAGAGTTCCCCTGTGGAGATGGGAGAACCTTCCAGAAGGACAACCATCTCTGCAGCCCTCCACCAATCAAGCCTTTATGATAGAGTGGCCAGACGGAAGCCACTCCTCAGTTTAAGGCACCTGACATCACATTTGCCAAAAGGCACCTAAAGGACTCTCAGACCATGAAAAATAAGAATCTCTGGTATGATGAAACCAAGATTGAACTCTATGGCCTGAATGCCAAGCATCGCGTCTGGAAGAAACTTGGCAGCATCCCTACAGTGAACCATGGTGTTGGCAGCATCATGCTGTGGGGATGTTTTTCAGCGGCAGGGAATGGGAGACTAGTCAGGATCGAGGGAAAGATGAACGGAACAAAGTACAGAGAGATCCTCAATGAAAACCTACTCCAGAGCGCTCAGGACCTCAGACTGGGGCAAAGGTTCACCTTCCAACAGATCAACGACCCTAAGCACACAGTCTAGACAACGCAGGAGTAGCTTCGGGACAAGTCTCTGAATGTCTTTCAGTGGCCCAGCCAGAGCACGGACTTGAACCCAATCGAACATCTCTGGAGACCTGAAAATAGCTGTGCAGCGACACTCCCCATCCAACCTGACAGAGCTTGAGAGGATCTGCAGAGAAGAATGGGAGAAACTCCCCAAATACAGGTGTGTCAAGCTTGTAGCATCATACCTAAGAAGACTCGATGCTGTAATCGCTGCCAAAGGTGCTTCAACAAAGTACTGAGTAAAGGGTCTGAATACTTATGTAAATGTGATATTTCGTTTTTTTATTTTTTTTGCAAGAAATCCTAAAAACCTGTTTTTGCTTTGTCATTATGGGGTATTGTGTGTAAATTGATGAGGGGGAAAAAACGATTTAATCCATTTTAGAATAAGGCTGTAACGTAACAAAATGTGGAAAAAGTCAAGGGGCCTTTATACTTTCTAAATGCACTGTATTTCCCATTCTAAGTGACATGAAAGGGTTAACTCTTAGGTAAAAGGACCCTTGTGTTTTCCTCTATCTTGAATGAGTCTGGGTTAAAAAGAGAAGAAGTGTGAGGGGAGACTAGACACATCTAGCCTATACAAGAATCATATGTAAACCTGGACCATATAGTGAAAGGGGTTTGAGATAACCAGCTCATAAGGGAATCTCATCTGTGCTGGCAGTCTGGCATAAACACACACCCTAGCAGAGCGGCAGTCAAATGTAGAGCAATTCACCTCTGTTCCACTGGGAGTGGAGGTAAGTAGGTGGACTCGTACATTAGGATTAGAAAAGCAGCACTCAAAGCCAATATAGCGTAAGCACAGTGTGAATGGTAGTAAACCACTTTATCTGTGTGTTCGTTACTCTCACTGCTCTTACCAAGCAGGTCAAGCCAATTAGAGGTCAGAGTGCCAACTGGTATCTAGATTTGAGAGATATGCCAAGAGTGTGCAAAGCTGTCATCAAGGCAAAGGGTGGCTATTTGAAGAATCTCAAATATATTTTGTTTAACACTTTTTTTGTTACTACATGATTCCAAATGTGTTATTTCATAGTTTTGACATCGTCACTATTATTCTACAATGTAGAAAATAGTAGAAATAAAGAAAAACCCTTGAATGAGTAGGTTTTCTAAGACTTTTGACCGGTAGTGTATGTCTGGCCGTTAACGTTCAACGCACTCTCCTCTACCTCAAATGTACTGTACCTTTTTAGCAGTGTACCCGCCTCCCACTGCTGAGCCCAGCACAATGTACCGGAGCTTGAGCAGCCTGGAGGCCAGGCGGAGCATCCAGAAGTTGCGGTGCTGCTGGTAGCGCCAGCCGCCATGGCTGCCCGGGGGAGGCTTGGGGGGCTGCATGGGCAGCCGGGACATGGAGGTGAAGTGGCGGGCTGCCGAGCGGTGCGGGGGATTGGCACTGGCGTTGTACCGGTGGTGGATGGCACGAGACAGAGGGTGCAGCTTCTGTAAGGGCATCCTGAACCTCACCCCCATGTTGGGGGAGACCAGGTTTCTGCAGGCCATGCTGACAGGACAGAGACATGGAGAAAACGGGTTAGGGATTTAGACCCACAAGCAACTTTAACACTGTACCTTCTGCAGACATCAGCTAGGTGTAATGAGTAGAACGATTGATATTTTTCTGTACAATACAACATGATGAACAACAACGGCATGATAGTGTTGATTGAACAGGGAACAAATAACGTTAGCTAGCTACAGTAGCTGCATATCTGCCAGGCTAAATACAGTAATGTTGGTTAGCTAAAATGCATTGTTAACGTGAACTTAAAAACAATGTCAACCTTTTGTTTTGCAGTTAACTAGTTAACCCACACCACACCCAATCGAGTAGGCCACTTGATATCAGTGATTCCAATTTGTTTTACACCAAGCAAATGTCTAGCTACTAACTGTTTGCGTTACCTTCTTGACCATCATCAAGACTAATAACAACCCTTTCGTAGTCAGCCTCTAGGCAACAAGCCAGTTAACTAAGCTAACGTTAGCTAGCCAGTCAGGTAATTAGAAGTAGTACATCATTGTCATCTAGCTATTGCTGTTTTTGTATGCATCATTCATTGATTGACTTATCTAGCTAGCTAGTATTGTGGTCAACATTGCTAACTAGTTATCTCAATATAGCACAGCTAGCAACACTATCCTCATGCCCAGATTGCTAACTTAGCTTGCTCGCTTTCTAACAGTACCTATCTATATATCTAGTTAGCCGGCTAGCGGTAAAGGTTGAGCTTTCTTTATTGTTACCCCACTTACCAGGCCACTGCGCTTCCAACTCGTAACATAATGCTATTACCAACAAGGGGTAAATGAAAATGTGTTATAAATTCGCGCTTAGGCACAATTCATATCATCTTTCCAGACGGTGCACATTGGTTAGCTTGCTCGGTAAAAGGACACAGCAAGAAATCGGAATGACAGGTCTACTTGCTGGAAACGAGTCCAACCTCCAAATCAGCACTGACAAAACAGTCTATGGTGCTTCCAAGTTCCTACACGGTATCTCAGTCACACATACCCAGTCACGTCTCTATTAAATGTTCTCTAATTTTTCAACATATAGCTAAATCAATTGGAGAAATTATTTATTTTTGTAAATTATAGTAAGAATTTCCACACTGTAGCCTAATCAGACTAAAAACACCATTGTGTCTTAATCTTTCTTCCATGGACGCTGTGGACTTCACAAAACTGTGTAATTAACCCACTCCAATGCTTGAGGGCATAAAAAATCTGCACACATCCACTACTACTCATCCTCTGTGGTGTGGATGGTCTAATAATGCATTATCAACATTAACTCTTCAACGTTGTACATTTATGATGTGTCATTGTTGCTTTGCTATCTACACTGCTGCTTACTATTTACATTTTAGTCATTTAGCAGACGCTCTTATCCAGAACGACTTACAGTTAGTGAGTGCATACATTTTCATACTGGCCCCCCGTGGGAAATACACCCACAACCCTGGCGTTGCAAACTCCATGCTCTACCAACTGAGCTACACGGGACTATTATCTATGCATAGTCACTTTACCCCTACCTACATGTACAAATTACCTCGACTAACCTACCCTCGCACATTGACTCGGTACTGGTACCCCCTGTATATAGCCTCATTATTGTTATTTAATTGTGTTACTTTTTTTTTCTTAAAAAAAAAACAAACGTTTATTTAGTAAATATTTTCTTAACTCTATTTTCTTAAAACTGCATTTTTGGTTAAGGGCTTGTAAGCATTTCACGGTAACCTGTTGTATTCGGCGCATGTGACAAATACAATTTTATTTTATTTTATTTGAGTCATCTGATTTTTACAACTATCTGTTGAACACTAAATAATCTCAGTTTCAGACAATAAATACATTATGTTTGAAATATTATTACAACTCAGTCCGAATTCTTTATCGTCGGAAAATACTGTATTTGAGTGCACGCATAAAACCACCCCAATTCTACCTACGTAAATATGCTTCAGTATGAAACATTTGAGATTCTGGGGTGGATGGCACAAACACACACACACACACACACACACACAAACTAACAGTTGAAGTTTAGGTTTAGGTTTCTGGCGGTTCTTTCGTAATTCAGAAAAAGTTCTCAAAGATAGTCTCTATCTATGTGGAAATCTATCCTCAGTCCTCTCTTCTCCATTCTCAAAGAGTTTGTCAATTCGTTAGTAGGCAAACAGAAGAGTGTCCTCCTCGATTGCCACCTATCATCGAGGACATTGAAATCTGCCACACCCCCTTTGGATCAGCTTTTGTTTTGTCAGAGGAGAAAAACATGCACATGTTCAAAAACAATATGATACTTATTGTTTTTTCTATAAAATGTATTGCACGACTAACTTAATTTGTTTTGATCACTTAACACATTTATTTGGGGATCCACCCCTGTAAAAGTAATTTGCCTAATGACATGAGAGTGGAGAAGGACCGTCTCACTTCAAGAAAGCGTTTTTTATTTTATTTTTTATATACACTACCAGTCAAAAGTTTTGACACACCTACTCATTCAAGTGCTTTTCTTTATTTTTACTATTTTTTACATTGTACAATAATAGTGAAGACATCAAAACTATGAAAAAACACATTTGGAATCATGTAGTAACCAAAAAAGTGTTAAACAAATGAAAATATATTTTATATTTGAGATTCTTCAAATAGCCACCCTTTGCCTTGATGACAGCTTTGCACACTCTTGGCATTCTCTCAACCAGCTTCACCTGGAATGCTTTTCCAACAGTCTTGAAGGAGTTCGCACATATGCTGAGCACTTGTTGGCTGCTTTTCCTTCACTCTGTGGTCCGACTCATCCCAAACCATCTCATTTGGGTTGAGGTCGGGGGATTGTGGAGGCCAGGTCATCTGATGCAGCACTCCATCACTCTCCTTCTTGGAGACTGACGTATTCCTGTCATGTCTTTTCATAATGTTATTGCAGGTATGGTTCTATTGTCTAAGAATTACTATTATACAGTCTTTGCATTGAAGATTGTTTATTATTTTATTTGATATGTTATGGCTTTATTTATGAATGTGATTGTGTGAGTCCGAGAAAACACTGAGAGAGAAAGAACAACTTGTCAGATGGTGCATTGGACACATGTATTCCTGTCCTGTCTTTTCATAATATTATTGCAGATCTACATAAAATCTAAAAAAGACAGCTGTGGTGTCGCTCTTCGTTTCTTGGTTCTTCTGTGGTACATACTGTAGTCACGGCCATGTATATACACTGCTCTAAAAAATAAAGGGAACACTTAAACAACACAATGTAACTCCAAGTCAATCACACTTCTGTGAAATCAAACTGTCCACTTAGGAAGCAAAACTGATTGACAATAAATTTCACATGCTGCTGTGCAAATGGAATAGACAACAGGTGGAAATTATAGGCAATTAGCAAGACACCCCCAATAAAGGAGTGGTTATGCAGGTGGTGACCACAGACCACTTCTCAGTTCCTATACTTCCTGGCTGATGTTTTGGTCACTTTTGAATGCTGGCGGTGCTTTCACTCTAGTGGTAGCATGAGACGGAGGCTACAACCCACACAAGTGGCTCAGGTAGTGCAGCTCATCCAGGATGGCACATCAATGCGAGCTGTGGCAAGAAGGTTTGCTGTGTCTGTCAGCGTAGTGTCCAGAGCATGGAGGCGCTACCAGGAGACAGGCCAGTACATCAGGAGACGTGGAGGAGGCCGTAGGAGGGCAACAACCCAGCAGCAGGACCGCTACCTCCGCCTTTGTGCAAGGGGGAGCAGGAGGAGCACTGCCAGAGCCCTGCAAAATGACCTCCAGCAGGCCACAAATGTGCATGTGTCTGCTCAAACGGTCAGAAACAGACTCCATGAGGGTGGTATGAGGGCCCGACGTCCACAGGTGGGGGTTGTGCTTACAGCCCAACACCGTGCAGGACGTTTGGCATTTGCCAGAGAACACCAAGATTGGCAAATTCGCCACTGGCGCCCTGTGCTCTTCACAGATGAAAGCAGGTTCACACTGAGCACGTGACAGACGTGACAGAGTCTGGAGACGCCGTGGAGAACGTTCTGCTGCCTGCAACATCCTCCAGCATGACCGGTTTGGCGGTGGGTCAGTCAAGGTGTGGGGTGGCATTTCTTTGGGGGGCCGCACAGCCCTCCATGTGCTCGCCAGAGGTAGCCTGACTGCCATTAGGTACTGAGATGAGATCCTCAGACCCCTTGTGAGACCATATGCTGGTGCGGTTGGCCCTGGGTTCCTCCTAATGCAAGACAATGCTAGACCTCATGTGGCTGGAGTGTGTCAGCAGTTCCTGCAAGAGGAAGGCATTGATGCTATGGACTGGCCCGCCCGTTCCCCAGACCTGAATCCAATTGAGCACATCTGGGACATCATGTCTCGCTCCATCCACCAACGCCACGTTGCACCACAGACTGTCCAGGAGTTGGCGGATGCTTTAGTCCAATAATAATACAAATCAAATGAAGTTTCCCATCTCCCCAGTTTCTGACGCAGCACAGAAATGCCCTTATCCAGATGGTGTGCAAAGGCATTTCCTAACAGACCTGCTAACGTTCTTTGTTGTTACTTTTAAGGTTGGAGCCAACATGCAGTACCTCCAGCAGGCAGAGAGGCAAAAACCATTCGTCCGCCAGCTCAGGAACAAGCTAAACTATTTACAGCCCTGTGTAATGTTAATGTAATTGAATTGCTGGACTTTTTGAAACTTCATGTTTTTGTATTGTTTTAAAAATGAACAAATAAAAGGAAATGTAGGGTTTAAACATGTCTTTAATGTTTGTTTGTTTTAGCTGTTAGTGATAATTCCCTAAGTGTTAATACATTTGTGTTTACATTATTAAGCCTTTATGTATGTGTTATGAATGACAAAAGGTGTCTGACTTTATAGTAAGTTTGGCGTCATATGATATAAGGCATGTATGTACACTGAACAAATATATAAACATGTAAAGAGTTGGTCCCATGTTTCATGAACTGAAATTAAAGATC